GAAAATGTCCGCCGCCCATCCACGAACACAGTGACGAGCCCAGGTGAGCCCCCCCTCCCTCCATCATTATTCCACATCACACCCTCCCCCATTGCTCCCCCTCTAATTGCTGCCCCCCTCTCCACCTTTCCTTCCCCCTCCATAACTCCCCACCTCCATCACTCTCCACCCCTCCCCTCCCTCCTCATTCTCCACAACTCCCTCTCTCCACAACTCCCACTCCCCTCCATCACTTCCCCCTCCCTTGATCACTCTATATCTATACCTCTCCCTCCCCCTCCCTTTAATATTATATGTAGTAAAATAAAATTATGTAGTCTGTTTCAATACACCTTAGTTTTCTTCATTTATTAGTGTTTAAGTTGGAACTTTGCAGATTAAGTCTGGACTTGTGATTCTATGATAATAATTGTGGAATTGGGACTTATTCCATCTGAATTCCATATGGAAAAAGTATGGATTCCATCTAAAAAAGTATGGAGTCCATCAGCTATTCCATGGAATCCATCTCCAGAAAGTATGGAGTCCATCAGCCATTCCATGGAATCCATCTCCAGAAAGTATGGAGTCCATCAGCCATTCCATGGAATCCATCTCCAGAAAGTATGGAGTCCATCAGCCATTCCATGGAATCCATCCCCAGAAAGTATGGAGTCCATCTGCCATTCCATGGAATCCATCTGGAATTCCTGGAATCCACCCCCCTTCCATGCATTCCATATGGATTAAGCCGGGGAGGGTAAAGTACAGATTATAAGTCCTGACAGATCCCATTCCAAAAGCATACTCTCTCTCTGATATTCTGAATCAGCGATCAATCAAAGTACATAATATTACCTAGCAAAACGGTGAATATCAGGTACCCCGACCAAGGAGGAGGAGACCACTGACCCCCATTCACAACTGCCAAAGAATATCAACAACCACCTAGTGACCCAAAGGCAAATTGGGACTCACAGCCTTTGTCACCCTTGGAATTAATCGCCATGTATCCTGAATAAGTACCTGTTCCGACAAAGCATCAACAAACTGGTGATGAAGCAGAGAAGGAAAGAAATACGGTTGTGGGGGGAGTAAATTTTGGAGACAATAACTCCATCTGTGTAAACGATCTCATCTTTGGTTATTGACAGCCAGGCAGAATCAATGCTATGGTAGTCTGCGGTAGGATACTATATGATGAGAATTGGATTGTCTCAGGAACTGTTACTCACCGAAAGTACGAGTCAACCAAGCGTGTTTCATGAATTTTGAATCTGGTCCATCTGAAAAAGCACAGTTTATTGCCGCAGTGTCTATTGGGTATTTGCCAAGAACTTTACCTGGTGTAGGCTTTGGTGTAGGCTTGGTCTTTTGGTCTGCAGCTGTATTGGCAGTTGCATTGACAAGGGCTACGGGATCACCTTCATCGCTACCCGGATAAGTGTCACCTTGGAAGGATATGACATCGGTGTCACTCATGGCAGCATCACTAGTCATGTCTTGGAAGAGTTCCATGTCGTTGTAGAGCACATGACTGGGTGTGACAAGGCCTTCAGCTTTTGCAATGCATGCTTTCAAAGACCCAGCAGTATGAGGGGGAGCGATGAAGATGGCGTTGATGCGCCCTAATGACATGTCACTCTCATCAAAGGACCTCTTTGCCTTTTCATCTCCATCTCCTTCTGATGAGTAAAGGTGATAGTACACTGAAAAGCTAATAAGTGCATTATTTAGATAGGAGACGTTGCCAAGACGTACCGTAGTGGATATCAGTATCATCAGAGCATTCCGGGAGCTTCTCCGACAGCGTAATGTTCTTGGTCCTCTTCTCCGACTCGACAACCAGCACGATCAGATCTTGTTCAGACAAGCCTGGCCCAGAAGGAGCAAAGAGAGAGAGGCGCGCAGAGTTTTCCATCGGTGCTGGGCTTGAGAGTGGTGTGAAGACAAGCGCCTTGTCGGGCTCAGAGAGGCCCTCAAATTTGCATAGGGAGCGCCTGATAGATGCTACCGTATGAGGAGGGGCGAAAGACTTTGTTGGAATGCGGCCAATGAAACGGTTGTTGTCGTAAAGGGGGCGATTTGATTTGAATGCACCAAGTTTGGTGTATAGACGATAGTATACTGCACGAGTGAATTAGCACATTGAAGCCAGGAGTCAAGTTTTCGGGATAGGGCACACCGTAGTTAGGACCCGTCCTTTTCGTTGGCTTTCCATCTTTAGATGCTAAATCTGCACCCCCTCTGCCGTCTAAGGAGGGAGTGGATCTGGACGTATGATCGCGACCAGGCAGAGTAGACTTAGCTGCTTCCAACCAGCGCCTATTGTAATGTCAGCAAGATGGGCAATTGAAGGAAAGAGTTATTGGACATACCTTTATCATCCACGAGGCATTGGCGCTTATGCTGTCACCTCGCTGCCAGAGTAAGTCAGATGTTTGACGATACAATTCTGACAGTGCGCTGGGAGGAAGGGAGTGCTTAATCACAAATCAGAAGGGTCACTGTAATAAGTGGAGAAAGTACTTACAGGGTTGATAGTATGGCAACAGGGACCAGCCAGCTTCAATATCACGGCTAAGACCGATGTTTGTACACTTGCCGATCAGTATGCCGAAGTTAATTAATTAATTCTATAATATAATATTGGTATTGTCACAATTTCCTATCAATTATCGCCAAGGTGCCGCGCAATCGTTTGCCATCTCTATCAAGACCTCCTTCCCTCTCATCACACTCTGTCTCCCCTACAGTAAGAAGGTTCGCATCGCATCGCGTCATGTCACATACCTCCGCTGAACACTCTTTAGGTCGCCGCAGGTCCAGCTGCATTCTCGCTCAACCCACCAATGGTCCAACAAAGGTTTCCCAGAAACTCTTCGTGAAACTCACCAACGATGAGTGATTGCCCAAGTCACCCAACACCATTTGTGATGGCGAGGAGGCTCAACTACGAGACCCTTGGGTCAAGTGCAAGGCGGACTCTCGGTGGATTTTGGATCAAGATTCAACTCATCTGGTGGGATTTGCGGCTGTCAATGGCATCTTCTCTGGCTCCCTTGTGTCCTTCTCCTGAACAAAGAGGCACAGGAAAGATGGATAGATAGGCCTCTGAGGGCTTCAGTGGTTTATGTAGCAATTGCTCATTTATTCTCATTCCAGAAAGGTGGAGCTTAAGCGCCACTGTAAGATGGTATATTTCCTGTCGCTGCCGCCATCTCATTCGCTCATCGGTTTCATAGGCATTACGAAGCCTGCTATTCATTCTCCCGCTCATTGTGGAAGTGTGAAGCATATTTTTCTATAAGGAGACTTGTGGTGTCTGGAAGATTTTTCTTGAAATGTGTGTTGTTACCTTGTTTGTCACGTCTCCAGTGCTTCGAACTCTCTGCCCTTAGGTTATTCATGACTCAGTAACACACACAGAGCATGCGAAGCGAACGACAGTGACAGCGCTCAATGTTGTTTGCACACCAAGGCGTTCAGGTGCACGCTACATGATTTTGGTGCATCAGCTTGTTTACATTGGATCCTTGTTGTAAATCTGTTGCGGTTAGTGTTTGGAAGTCCGGTCTTGTGACTGGAAAAAGACCATAACCAGACCGGACCAAGACTGCAAAAGACCGGACCTGTGGTTACAGTCTTTTATTTTTGAAATGTAAAGACCGCAAAAAAACCGGTTAACGTGAACCGGTCTTGACCGGTTTGGACCGGTCTTTTGTAGCCCCTTAAATACCCTTTAAAACGCACCCAAGAACGTACGATTTGGTAAAAAAACGAGAGAGATATGAATTAAAATGTGAATTACTTTTGGGAATAATAGATGTACCAGACTTATTTTATAGAAGCACCAATTCCTAACGGAATTTAACGTTCTTGGGCTCGTTTTGAAGCTATTAGAAATGTTAATAAATTTACCGATTCATAATTTTAAAATATTGGCCCAAAGACCGGTCATAAACCGGTTAAAACTGATGCAGACCGAAACCGGTCTATAGACCACAAAAAACCGCAGTCTGCAGTCTTTTTGCAGTCCGGTCTGGTCTTTTGACTTCTGGGGAAAAGGCAGACCGGTTACGGTTACGGTTAACACCCCTGGGCATCAAAAAACCGGACCGAACCGGACTTTCAAACACTAGTTGCAGTATGTGGTTTGGACTTGCTCATCTTTTATTGGCTGATAACTGAGGTGAACGACACCCCTTCTCTTACATGGACAAGCTTATCAGCTGTTACGAGGCTCTGCATACTGACTTCGCTTGCATTCCAGGGATTCGGAAAGGCGGAGCTTAAGCGCGAAGCATGATTAGGCCCAACAGCAGGAGGGATGAGAAGTAGAGTTGTACGCAAGACATGCGGTATGTGGTTTTGATTTGTTCGTCTTTGTTGGCTAATAACTGAGGTGAACAAGACTCTACTATCTTCCATGGACTCACCCTGTTTTGGTCTAACCATTGACTGTAAGCCTGACACTCAATGTTATTAAATTGTTTCTGATCTCTCTTTTTATCAGTTCCTCCACCAGCTTTCCCAAAGTTGGTCAACTGGCTGCTTCCTCCATACTCATCCGTACACACCGCCCTGGTCCGTGTCCCACCATTCCACCTCCAACCCAAGTTCACTGGTGTTCCACCGTCAACCCCAAGTCTCGTCGTTGGCTCGCCCACTGTCTGTATATCAACGGGCAATTGTGCGGGATAGAAAGGTAATGCACTGAACTATCCAGCCCAATGTATACAACAATACTACCGTAGCAGTACCTGGCTGTCGATTTGTCATGCATTCAAGTCTGTGATGATGAGAATGTCGGCAGATGAGGAAAGAATAAGTACACATTGAGTTGCACAAATCGTGTTCCATATCATAGTGGCTCAACTAGGTGTGCAGGTCGAAGCGGTGGGCTAGCCCATAGAGCAGAATACTTAGAGTTGAGATCAACAAAGCCATGAGGTAGACAGTCGTGTTTGATGATTGCCTGTCGCGCCTCTCGGCATGAACTGAACGTCGACCAGTGCACATCTTCCTAGCACTATGAAAAAAAAGATTGAAACCTCTCTCAGAACATGTTCTTTTAAGTTTCAGCATCTCATCAAGCAATGAACAGACTCAATGTCAAGTTCAAGTTCCTTCGGCGCAAACAAACACCGTGCCGACATCTCGACAATATTTCCGCATAGATGTTCAACTCCTCTAATGTGATGACCCACCGCCGATCTTCCTTGGTTTGCCACTGTCATTTCGCATGCTGCATGTCTCCCAACACTCTTCCCTTTTGCTGCATCCCAACTGCATCCTAATCGTTGTGCTGGACAGCCATGACTAGCGTTGCCGAAGTTCAGTTCAGTCCGGTTCAGACCCCCTTTGGTGCGAACCTGAACCTGAACCTCCTACAAATTTTCCGAGCCTGAACCGAACTTGAACCGTGTGTTCGGTTCAGGTTCAAACCTTCTGAACCTTGTAATTTTTTTAAATCAATTTTTTTGCCTTTTTTTCGTGTCCAAATGCTTCAAAACTCATGTGTAATCTCTAAAAATCAGTTATTTATGCAATGCTGTGGCACAAACCATGTTTGATAAGCCAAATAGATATTATACAACAGACCCCAACAAGTGCACGTGTGGGAAAGCGACCTAAAATATGGCCATCAACCATTACCCAGATGAAGGATTGATACTTTACATTTAAATACTGTAGTTGTTACAGATCACAATAGTTTTGAACAAAAAATTGCAAAAAAAATGTCCAAAACAGAGGGAAAGTAGGCCCCCCAGTGGCTAAAGGTTCAGAGGTTCGGTTCAGTCCGAACCTGTTCTCCAGAAATTTTCTGGAGCCCGAACCGAACTTTGTGTTCGGTTCAGAGGGTTCGGGTTCGAACCGAAGTTCTGGACTGAACTTCGGCAACGCTAGCCGTGACCACTGGCCAACGAGATCTCATTGTCACCTTTCCGCTCAATGTTCTACAGGCCAGAATTGCATGTTTTGTATGTAGTGCGGAAGTTATACACGCATAGGTTTTGTGTAGTAAGTTGTCAGCAATGAAGCATCTGGTGGATCGGTAGTTTCATGGCTTCAAGAAGAAACACTAATCCGAGTTGGGGTGGGTCAGAGGTTTTGGTAGGAGATGGTAGCTCTAGAAATCGCAAAGTTTCCTACAACGAAGATACAAGATGGACATCATATGGCAAATCGGCACTTTGGAAATCAATAGGAAATTGTTACAGGATGAAATATTTGATGGACAATATCAATATTATATAATAGAATAGTGAATTTATTTCGGCATATTGATTGGCAAGTGTACAAACATCGGTCTTAGCCGTGATATTGAAGCTGGCTGGTCCCTGTTGCCATATGATAGCACCAACGCGTTTGAGTGCGGGAATGACGTGTACCGATGCCTATAAAATTCTATGGCTGTTCAGCGCGGTGGGCCTTACAATGGTTGTTATCTAGACAGGCACATGGGCGCCTCTCCAGTCAGGGAGGTCGTTGATATTGCGTTGACAGGCAATTGACACAAAATTGACAGGTTCAGGACAATCTGTTGACGTCACGGCGCAAGACGATGTGACCAACGTGATATGAATCGCAAGCTATGGTAGTCTGGGCCTTATGGTAAGGTCAACATAGGCGTAAAAATAATGGTCACGTTTTGTTCCCACGGACCGCGTCGCGTTGTAAATTAGTTGTGCTTCATCGACGATTATACGCGTTTTCCCTGGTAATAATGCCTGAAACACCTGTAACCAAAAAGTCTACATTCAAATCTGCAGAGGGGTGGGCCCTCTCCCTCCAAATCCAACAGAAACACCTCCCATCTGGTCCACATGACTACTAACTTCAGGGTATTACCTCACTGCTTGACGTAAACAACCTCCTTGCAATCTCAGCAATGGGATTGGGAAAAGCTGCATATATATACATGGTTATGCATGCCATTCTTGCTATTCTGGAGGATCCTACCCTTTGTCTGACCACGAAATTCCCTCCAATCCAGCCATTCTTGCCATATATCCAACAACTGCACTTGAGGAAGACCAGGTACTGGCTCTTCATACCTCTACAAGCTGACAGGGACAGCGAAGAAGGAATTGGAGAAAATGAGCTTTCAGAAACTCCATTGTAGTTCCAGAATGGGGTAGGAGTGATCGGTGCAACAATATTTTGTTGATGAGGTGTCTCAGGTGGGACTGTGGCCGGTTCCACGCACATTGAGCAAAGGAAACTTCGAAATTATAACCTCTATTTCTGTTTGACCTCCAAGGCGCGTCGCGCGAAGCAATCACATGACATCTTTTCATGTTGCAAAAGCGAACCGTGGGAATAAATATTGTGGGAAATAATCTGCGCCCATGTTGCGGGCGCGTTTGAAAGCAGACTCCATATGAAATTGATCGACTATCATCAACTTCATATCGGAGTCTGACATCGGGAGACTAAAGCTATGGCAAGTCAAAGCCATCCAAGTCGATCCCACACATCCTCCACATCCACCTATTAATTCACCCGGACCAGCTCACCCACAAAGGATGCCTCCATCGTCATCTCCAAACCCTCATCAAACGCAGTACACACCCCTACGCTATAAAAACAACATCCACAGGCATCATTTCCCGCTCTTCTTCCTCACCGCACCACCAAGTCCATAGTACCACGCTCACACAACACCACTATTTCCCGTCTACGCCTTCGCCAAGTGGTCAGGTGTCCCCAACTCCCTACAGGCGTAGGTATAGTAGGAGCTTGACCTAGGTCTTTGCCTTTGAGGTCTCCGTCATGACTACTGTGACAACACCTTTGAACGAGGGCGATTTGAAGGTACGTGTTCTTCTTGTTCTTGGTATTGTTTCTACCTAGTGCTAATTGGATATGAAGGTCCGAACTACCAACAACCCACTAAACCCACCCCCTCTCCGCCTCCCGGGTTCGAGTCGGGCCATAGCTTCCCCGTTCATTCTCTACAACATGACGATTCCTCTTCCAACTTTTTGGACGTTGATGTGGGGAGGAGGAGCAGGGACACCAGCTTTGGTTCTACCTCCAATCGAAACGGTAGGGTGAAAGCTCATAGAATAAGAGCGAACCAAACTCAACATCTTATTTTCTGACAAAAGGCCAACGACATTCCACGTCTTATCGGATGTGACCGACAAGACTCAGCGCTCTCTTCCTTCGCAGGGCCCATTTTTGGTCGCGTGTTCCATTTGTACATACGGGGTCTCCGTTCGTTTCTACGGGTGCCTTCGTTCCCTTCAACAGGCACTGGTTCGCCGTTCGCCCAACGGGATTCTTATGTTCCATACCCCCATTCCGACCCCTTTAGGCATAGGTGGTCCAGGCCAACAATACGCGCGTCCCTTCCTCTCCCGCCACATAACGGACAACACCTTCTCGTAGACCCCCCCTATTTCCAGTGCTGGTGTGGGTGGGGAAAGGAAGAGGAGGGCGTTGCGACGACGGTGACCGATTCTGGGTCTGTTAAACATCATCATCCTAGGCCACAGCCCAGGGTTGGAGTTGGGGTTGAGGGGTTGGTTAGATTTTGAGGGATACGTCTGGTGATGATGTTATGGGGAATACATCTGGTGCTGCCCATTACACACAGAGTAGAATCGGAAACAGAGAGAAGCAACGACACCGCTCCATCACAATTATCCAGTGACGGAGACAGAGACGGATGGGGCTGAATCATACCATCGATGAGAAAGGGAAGGAGAAAACCATCAACGAGAAAGATAATAACGGGAAGAGGAAGAAATATGCAGGAGACGGAGGGAGACAAGAGGTGACTTATGGTCCGCACCTTGACCCACCTCAACATCATGGACCTGTCAAGCAGAAACAAGTCCAAGAACCTGGTCACGGCAATATGTCCCTCACTCCCATCGACTCAAACCTCACCTCTCTCGCCTCAAACGACTCAAGCTCAGACTTGACCACCCTCCGGATAGCACTCACAACCTGCGAAGAAGCCCCAGACCAACGTGAGCTTGGGCTGGCGGCTAGACAGGAGAGGATTGAGGGGGTGAAGGAGAGGGTTCGGGAGGTGTAGAGGGCTGTTGGGTATCGTGAGGGGGCGGTTGGGCGGAGGGAGAAAGAGGCGGAGAAGAGGGAGAGGGCGGTTGAGAGGAGGGAGCGGGAGGTACGAGGGGGGGAAGAGAAGGTCGTGGAATTGGAGCAAGCGCTTGAACAGAGAGGATTCGAGCTTGAAGAACGTTCTAAACGGGTTGAAGATTTCGAGGAAACGCGTTCTCCTCAAGTTGGTGCTCCCAACGCGTCGACTTTGTCAAATTCATGGCCCATTACCCTCCTTCGGTCTGTCGTCTTTCGTGTATTCGGCTACAAGACGTTTTCGTTCCTCTTTTCCAACCCTAATCATTCCACCCCCACCCCCTCCTCCTCAATCCCCGCTCAAAGAAGACCCTGCCGCGACTGGGAAGCCCGACGCGATCTGTACCTGTCAAAAGGTGGACGGGGGGGGGTTACTTGTGCTCGTGGGTATTGGCGCGTGTGCTGTTGTGTTGAAGTTGCTTGTGAGGAGGTTGACTGGGTTTGGGATATGGAGTTGGTTGAGGAGGAGGAGCATGCGGTAGTATTGCTGCTTGAATGGCCGATTTTGGGCCTCTGGGAGATGCCTTGAACAGGTTTATGACTTTTATGACTTTTACGACTTTTTCACGATCTCTTTTTGACTGATGCTGACGAGGAATTGAATAAATGAACGCGCGCGTATGCGAGCGTTTTGGTTTTTTTGTTCCTGTAAATATCTCTGATATAGTTAGTTATACCTTATGTATCGCTTGAATCTTTGAGCAGGACTGAACATTTGCAATTGAAAGCTTCAACAATCAGCGATGTCTGCTTGGTTTTTCGTAATCAATTCCTCGTTTCTCGTGTTACATGTTAACAAATCTACGGGACCGGTACGTCGACCCCTTCTGAGCCTAAATCCTGACATATTTCCATTCCGAAAGCATACACTCTCTCCAATGTTCACCAATCAGATAAATTGAACATAATCTAGCAAACGGTGGATATCAAATACTCCGACAGAGGGACGAGACAACTTACTCGACATCACAACTACCGAAGAAAATCAATAACCACCTAGTGACCCAAAGGTAAATTGGAGACTCACAGCCTTTTTCACCCTTGGAATTAATCGCCATGTATCCTGTATAAGAGCCTGTTCCGACAAACCGTCAACAAACTGGTGATGAAGCAGAAAAGGAAAAAAAATACCGCTGTTGAGGGAATGAACTTTGGAGACACTAACTCCATCCGTGTAAACGATCTCATCTTTGGTTATTGATAGCCAGGCGGAATCCTTTGCTTTGTAGTCTGCGGTGGGATACTATAGGATGAGAATTGGATTATCTCAGGAACTGTTACTCACCGCCACCATGAGTTAATTGAGCGCGTTTCGTAAAATTTGAATCTGGTCCATTTGAAAAAGCACGGTTTGTTGCCGCAGTGTCTAGGGGATATTTGCCGAGCGCCTTACCTGGTGTAGGCTTTGGTGTAGGCTTAGCCTTTTGATCCGCTGCTGTATTGGTGGTTGCATTGACAAGGGCTACGTGATCGCGTTTATCACTGCCCGGATAATCGTCACCTTGGAAGGAAATGATGTCGGTGTCGTTCATGGCAGCATCACTATCCGTGTCTTGGAAGAGTTCCATATCCTTGTAGAGTGCATGACCCGGCGTGACAAGGCCTTCAACTTTTGCGATGCGTGCTTTCAAAGACCCAGCGGTGTGAGGGGGAGCGATGGAGAGGGTGTTGATGCGTCCTAACGAAATATCGCTTTCGTCAAAGGATGTCTTTGCCTTTGCTTCTCCTTCGCTTTCTGATAGGTAAACACGATAGTATACTGTAAAGCTGATGATGAGTGCAGTATTTAGGTAGGAGACATGCACAAGACTTGCCGTAGTGGATGTCAGTATTATCAGAGCATTCCGGCAGCTGGGTCTCCGATTGCGAGGCCTCCTTGGTCCGCTTCTCCGACTCCACAACCAGCGCGATCGGATCTAGTTCGGACAGGCCTGGTCCAGAAAGAGCGTTCAAAGAAAGGCGGGTAGAGTCTTCTTTGGGTGCTGGGCTTGAGAGCGGTGCGAAAACAAGTGCCTTGTCGGGGTCCAAAAGGCCCTCAAGTTTGCAGAGGGACCGCTTGATAGACGCCACAGTATGAGGAGGGGCAAACAACTTCGACGGAATGCGGCCAATGAAACGGTCGTTCTGGTAGAGGGTGTGATTTGATTCAAATGCACCGAGTTTGGTGTATAGACGGTAATATACTGCATGAGTAAATTAGGCCGGCAGTAGAGTTTTCGGGATAGCGACGTACCATAGGTAGGACCTGTCCTTTTCGTTGACTTTCCATCTTTAGATGCTGAATCTGTACCCCCTTTGCCGTCTGAAGAGGCAGTGGAGCTGGACGTATGATCGCGACCAGGGAGAGTAAACATCGCCATTTCCAACCAGAACCTGTGAAATATCAGCAAGATGGACGATTGGAGGAAAGAGTTACCGGACACGCCTGCGGCCTTCAAAGTTCATCGAGCACTGTCATGCATCATGCATCGGCGCTTATCCATCAACCGTGCCCTCGCTGCCAGAGCACGTAGGATGTTCTCAACAAGTAGCTCCGCCTTCCCTCCTTCCAGCCCACTCTCAAGCTCTCAACTTGGGGAGCGCAAGTTCATGAGAAACCACCATTATATGGGGGAGAGGTGGAAATGGAGGTTGATGATACAGTTCCGATGGTGCGTTGGGAGGAAGAGTGTGGTTATTGAGGAGAGGTGGAAGTCGTGGAGGGGGTACAGGTTGACAGCACCGTCTTCAGAGGCGACCTCCATGCGCATTGGTGGTTCCGATCGCCAGCCATATCCGAGTGCGGTTCACCTCTATTCCACTTTATATCTGACTTCGACCTCACGTCCTTCGAGTCTACCATTAAACAAGGCGCCGTCTCCCAAATCATACTGCTGAATGAGGTCTACGGCGAACAGGTCTTCGCCACGTCATGACGGTGACGTTTCTCAATACCAGACAACTATACGCTTGCTATACGCATCATCCGAATTTTCTTATCCATTTCCTTGCGACGAAATTCTCTGCGATCCTAGAGGACCATAAGTATGTGCGTATCTTATATCATGCTCACACTTTCACCTCTCACGAATGTTTAGGTGTTGAATCAGAATCTGGCCAACGATGAAAACAAGATGAAAAGCTCGCCATGCGCCCCTACACTACCAAGTACTTTGATAATTCATGTCGCAGGATGGGATCGCCTATACTAGGATTTCGGCGTTCGACAACTGGGTCTGTGAACATGGCGTTACTCCACACTGTCCGCGGAACTTCAGGGAGTGGCTTTATTAGAAGGGGGATCTGTTGGGGAATGGCCGTTCGACGAGCACTTTGATTACCGTTTTGAACACGGTTTGTTTCATGCCAATCAACTCTTGTTTATCCTCATAATCTTATCGTCGCCATTTCAGACGAAGTCTGGGATAGACTTGAAGACCCTCAAAAACTGCTTTGCAAACGGTCCCCCTTTGCATGATATTCCAGGGAGTTCCATTTTTTAAGAAGTCCGGAGATGCTCGAAGCCGTGGTACATTGTTTCTCCTAAATGAAGACGTAAGCATACAAATCTCGTTCTCCGTAGAGTCCTCACCGTCGTCGTCTAGAGCATTTCCGGCCTTGTTCGGATAAGGTTCCTCCACCAGCTGTCCAGATCAAAGATATGGGACCCTTTATGTTGAACCTCTCAGCAATTCTTGTGAAGTTGCGCGAGTTTATCAAGACATGTCGAAGGTCAATCAACTTCCGTGCTCGAATCTTTTCCCCCTCCATTGACAATGAAGAGTAGAAGTGGAGGGGAAGGCTCAAGAAGGCACGAAAGGCGAAGAGAAAGTAAACGAGGGGGAAAAGAAAGACGCAGGAGACAGGAGGAAACCCGACTTATGGAGCGTATGTGGTGGGCAACGAGTCTCAGCGTTGTGATCGTCCAGCTCTGGATCTGGACTCGCACGCCCACACAACAGAACAAGACGTCTCAAACTCAACGGAACACGACTTCACGGCCCTCCGCGTAACCCTCACTACCCGCCAACAAGCCGTAGACGAACGTGAGCTCGTACTGGTGGCTAGGCAGGAGAGTATCGAGGGAATGGATGAGAGGGTTGGGGAGGTGCAGAGGGCCGTTAAGTATCGTGAGGAGGCTGTGGGGTGACATGAGGAGGCACTTGCGCGGAAGGAGAAAGAGGTGGATGAGAGGGAGAGGGCCATTGAGCGGAGGGAGCAAGAGGTACGACAGAGGGAATAAAGGGCCGCGGCACTAGAGCAAGCAAGATCTGGCACTCGGTCAGAGAGGATTCGAGTTGAAGAACGACCCTAAGCGGGCTGAAGACGAAATGGAAACGTTCTGCTCGACTTGGTCGCCTCAACGCGTCCGCTTCGGCACTTGGTTCGAATTTATGGCCCATTGGTCATCTTCGGTCTGTCATCTTTGGTGTGTTAGGCGACAAGACGTTTTCATTCCTCTTTTGCTCCTGCCCTCCCTCCTCCTCCAACCCAAGTTTTTCCTCCTCCAACCCGAACTCTTCTACCCCCTCCACCTCAATCCCCCCTCAAAGAAGACCCTGACGTGATTGGGAAGCCCGACGCGATCTGTACCTATCAACAAGTGGACGGGGGAGTTACCTCGTGCTCGTGGGCATTGGCGTGTGTGCTGTTGTGCTGAAGGTGCATGTGAGGTTGACTGGGGTTGGGATTTCGAGTTGGTTGAAGAGGAGGAGCAGGAGGTAGCGTTGTCTTTGCTTGAATGGTTAATTTTGGGCCTCTGGGAGATGCCTCGAACAGGTTCATGACTTTTATGATTTTTACGACTTTAACGATCTGACGCTAATGAGGAATTGAATAAATGAACGTGCGCGTATGCGAGCGTTTTTGTATAGCTCTTACTAATACCTTATGTATCCCTTGAACCTTTGAGCAGGACAGAACGTTTGAAGGCGTCAACGTTAAGGGTCGACAGTTGCAAGTTGTAATGTCTGCTTCGTTTTTTTTTTGGATCAGACCCTCGTTTCGAGTTGTGTTACATATCAACAGATCTACGGTACCGGTACATCGACTCCCCTAAGCCTAAGTCCATCCCATTCCGAAAGCATACACACTCTCTGATACTATTCACCAATCAATCGAAAACAAGCTTCTCTAGCAAAACGGTGGATATCAAATACTCCGACCGAGGGGGAGGAGACCACTCACTGCTCCGCACAACTGCCAAAGAAAATCAATAACGACCTAGTAATTCAAAGGCAATTTGGGACTCACAGCCTTTTTCACCCTTGGAATTAATCGCCATGTATCCTGAATAAAGCGCTGTTCGAATGTGTCAACAAACTGGTGACAAAACGGAAAAGGGAAGAGATACTTTTGTCAGCGGCCAACCCCATAGAGACGATAACTCCATCTGTGTAAACGATCTCATGTTTTTCGCCTGATAGCCAGGCGGTATCAATTGTTTTGTAGCCTGCGGCGGAAGAATGAGAATCGACTTATCTCAGGAACTGTTACTCACTACAAGTATTCTTGAACTGAGCGCGTTTCGTGAAATTTGGATCTGGTCCATCTGAAAGAGCAGGGTTTGTTGCCGCGGTGTCTAGACAGTTTAGTGGATGGTTGCCGAGAACTTCACCCGATGTAGGCTCAGCCTTTTGGTCCGCTGCTATATCGGTGGTTGCATTGACAAGGGCTACATGATCGCTTTCATCGCTACCCGGATAAGCGCCACCTTGAAAGGATATGTCATCAGTGTCGCTCATGGCAGCATCACTTTTCATGCCCTCGAAAAGTTCCATGTCCGTGTAAAGTGCATGACCCGGCGTTACGAGGCCTTCAAATTTGGCGATGCATGCTTTCAAAGATCCAATGGTGTGAGGGGGAGCGATGAAGAGGGCGTTGATGCTAACGAAATGTCGCTTTCGTCAAAAAACGTCTTTGCATTTTTATCTCCTTTTCCCCCTGACAAGTACACACGGTAGTATACTGTAAAGCTGATGAGTGCACTATATGAGTAAGAGACGTCGACAAGACTTGCCGTAATGGATCTCGGTATCATCAGAGCGTTCCGGAAGTTTTTCCGGCTGCGAGACCTCCTCGGACCTCTTCTCCGACTCGACAACCAACACGATTGGATCTTGTTCGTTCAGGCCTGGCCCAGAAGGAGCGTACAAAGAGAGGCGGGCAGAGTCTTCTTTGGGTGCTGGGCTTGAGAGCGGTGTGAAGAGAAGCGCCTTGTCGGGCTCCGAAAGGTCCTCAAGTCCGCACAAGGACAGCTTGATAGACGCGACGGTATGAGGAGGGGCAAAAGACTTCGTTGGAATGCGACCAATGAAACGGTCGTTGTGGTAGATGGGGCGATTTGATTCGAATGCACCGAGTTTGGTGTATAGACGGTAATATACTGCATCAGTAAATTAGGCCATTCAAACCATCAGTAGAGCTTTCGGTATAGGACGCACCATAGCTAGGACCTGTCCTTGTTGTTGACTTTCCTACTTTTGCTGCTGAATCTGTATCCCCTTTGCAGCCCGAAGAGGCTGTGGAACTGGACGGATGATCATGACCAGGCAGAGTAGACATAGCTGCTTCAACCAGCACCTATTGAAACGTCAGCAAGATGGACAATTGAAGGAAAGAGTTATCGGACATACCTTCATCGATCGTCATACATGAGGCATTGGCGCTTATGCTGCCACCTCGCTGCCAGACCAAGTAGGATGTTCTGAAGTTGAACGAGTAGCTCCGCCTTTACTCCATCCAGTGCGTGCACTGGCCTTTCAAAATTTCAAGCTCCCAACTTCCCGAGTGGAAAAGTATCGGAACGCAAATTTCATGAGAATTCACGATTATATTTGAGAAGAGGCGGCGATAAAGGTTGTGATACAGTTCTGATGGTGCGCTGGGAGGAAGATAGTGGTTATTGAGGAGGGGAAGTGGAGAAAGTGCAGGGTTGGCACGAGTCACGACGAACTCTCACAATCTCAGTTCGCCTCGCTTCCGCTTTATCTCTGACTTCGACCTCACATCCTTCGAGTCTACCAACAAACAAAGCGCCGTCTTCCAAAACATACCGCCTAAAGTGGTCCACGGCGTATAGGTCTTCGCCACGGCATGACGGCGAAGTTTCTCAACACGTCACTATATACCTCCCCCATGGCTTCGTCGGAAGTTCTCCTCGCCCATCTTGCAACGATATTCTCTTCAATCTCAAAGGACCCTATGTGCGTATCTTACATCCTGCTCGCACACCCACCTCTTACGAATGTTTAGACACTGGATGAGACTCAGCTCAATGATGAAAAGCGCGCTATCTGGTTGTGCTGCAACACTACCAAGTCCTCCGATAATTCAGCATTTCAAGTTTTCCACGTTTGACAGTCGGGTCTTCTTGTCATGCGAGAATGGCGTTACCTCACACTGTTCACGGAGCCTCAGGGAGTGGCTCTTCAGAAAAGGTCACTAAACTCAATACTCTCGTGCCCGACCTTTGGATCATCCCTTGTCAACGGATCGTTGAAGAAGGGCAAAGACCAGCTGTTCTAAGCACCCTGATTCCTTCTGAAACTCGCAAATCACGGTGTGTTTCATGCCAACGAAGTCTCGTTTATCGTCGTAACCTTATCGTCGCCATTTCAGACAAATCCTGGGATAAATTTGAAGGCCCAGACACTCAGAAGTGGCTTCGCACATGGGTTTTCCTTGCACAACGCTCCAGGAAGTTCCGTTTCTCAAAGGTCGACGGTCTTTTGGCGGAAATACAAGCAGATTTGGAGGACCAAAAAGAGACTTTCTGCCATCGAAGCCGTTGGCCAGTACAACAGGCTTCTCAGTTGGAGGGGTTGTTTCTTCACTGATGACGTGAGCTCACGAAATCTCCTCATCATCCTCCCTAGTTCTCACCATCGTCGTCTAGAGCATTCTCTACTTGTTCGGATGGGGCTCTTTACACCAGCTGTCCAGATCAAAGATGAAGGGACCCTTTATCTTCCAAACGGTTCTTGTGAAATTGCGCGAGTTCGTCAAGACAAGTTGAAGGTCACTCAACTTCCGTACTCAAACATTTTCTACCTTCACTGACAATGCAACAAGGCATTGGAATGGTTCTTTCTTCAACCGAAGAGGGTCAAGAATATCACTTCGAATGGGCCCACCATTTCGGTTGGCATTGAATGTCCTCCGCCTTTCTTGGTTACCACGACGACGAAGTCCATGAGGAAACAGCCATCGTGCACTTCCGCGACCTCCAACGATGCTGGCTAGCTCTTTTCAACGTATGTACCCTCTTCGCTTCTAGTTCTCGGACTACTGACAGACTTGACACAGAATCACGCCTCAAACATGTCTTCGACGATGCCGTTACTAGATGCCCTCCCTGTTGCTGTTTGGTCCCACGTCTTGTTTGATGAAATTCTATTGGGGTGAGTTACGGGGTAGTCTGATCCTACTGAACACGTACTAACCTCTAAGACAGTCATCGTTGGGTAGGCCACTTGCGTTGCTCAAGTGTGGACTTCCTCCTATTAACATCAAGGGGAATGGGACATTGGACTCTCAGCTGCATAGTATGCTTGCAAGAACACGGGCAAAACGAAACACTTGACCAACACTTGACCATTGGGTTGCTGTCAGTCTCGAATGGCTTATGTAAGGATCGCGTCCTCCCTTTGACGATCTTTTCTTTGTCTCGTTTTCCCTTTTATACAGCTATGATTTCAAGGTACGTCTTTTCTATCTCTCCCCACTGTTCCACCGCCCATTTCCTATCTACAGAACGATTGCCTTCTCCCCATGCCATTGGCGGTAGCTTGCCTCGGTTTCATCCTTCTTTTCACCATCATCTTCTTCAACTCTCTCGTATGTGCGTTCATCTATGTTACGGGTCGGTATATCTATGACGGATTATACCCTGAACACCGCTGGACTTGCAACGAGGACGAAGGCGTAATGACAAGTACAAAGGATTCATTGATCGCCCGACACTACACGACGGTCTATTTGATCCTGGACACCATGCGCTCCAGAATCAAAGGCAAAACGTCAACGATACACAGAATGTTGAGAAGGTCTTTATTGAGATCTCGGACGACTCGGACTTGGACTTGGACGTTCCTTTGGTAAGTCCTTTCACTGTTTCCGCCTTTCAAGGGTATTGAATATGTCGTCAAGCAGGGGAGGGGAGGGACATTGCTTAACACCCAAAACGCGTCTGCTCAGCATGGAACTCACCCAGATACTCACGAGGATCGTAGTGCTCAGGCTCTAAGGGAACCCTGGGATCCTGGATTTCAACGAGTAACAGCACTTTCGGTTCTCGGTTTACGACCTTGTATGGAACCACCGGGTTGTAGCTTCCAACCTCTGATGAAACCTCGGGAAGGCAGCGAGCAACCTCAAAGGGGTTGGAAACCGCCGCCTCTTGATCACGGCTCCCAGCCTCTAACGACCCCTCCAGATCGCGGTCTGCTCCCTACAACGCCGGCTCGTTGCCCAGGTATAGTCACCCCCTTTCATCATGTTTCATAACTGACGCTGAAGGTGTGCTTTCAAGCTTATCGCCGTCGCCCATTTGGAAATTTGGACGACGAGCTTGATCAATACGATGACGATGACGATGATTATGATGACCACGACTACATCGATGACAGCGAGACCGACAGCTCAGATTATATCTGGGAACCGCGTTCTTCAGTCAGAGCTTTCACGTTGTCTTTTCGATCTCGCTTGTTCTGACAACGGTTACAGAAGCAACGGAAGTCTCCACTCAAAAAGACCCTGCTGACTTGCCTTCCGGGTCCCTCTGCACCTCAGCCAAAGCTACCTATTGTTCGTTGTAATGGGCAGTCAACATCGGGGAACCCCAATCCCGCGGTTACGTCTGGTCAGATTTCTCAGGCGAGAGGTCGGCGTCCTTATCAACGCTACGTCCTGGGGCCATTCCCATTCCCATCGGCCTGGGTGGTGGAGGTGCATCAGAGTCCGAATCTGCTGCAGGCCTTGGAATCCTCCCCATCCCAGCCCGAGGATCATGTATCGTACTCATCCGCTCGAATCCCTCTTTGATTGCTTGTGCTTCAGGGGAGAGAGGTGCTGTGTTCGTAGGAAGATGAATAGGAGATAATTGCGAAACGTACTCGAAGATGGATTTGTGGTTGGGGCTGTCTTGTGTGGGAGATTGGGCACGCTGGATATGGTGTATAGTTGTAAACGAAGCGAGTGTTTGGGCAGATGAATCATTTCAGATCAGTTCCTACAGTAATAATTACCGACATATTCCACATAATTCCAGCATCAACGTTCACCGTGTTCACATTTTGAATACTCTCCGGGGTCCATAAATTTACGGAAATCCTTCTTCAAAGGTGGACAATGTGGTACAAACTGAATTTTCAATTTACAGGCAGGCAGTAGGATCTGACGAAAGGAGGGGCCATGGAGGGGCAGCTCCGAACTCCCTTGCGGAAATTCGACAACTTGGTTGGCACTACCCTGATTTTAGACAACGACGAAGGCATCTAGCACCAGGGTAAAGTCTTGGAGCTCTCCTGAATGGTAAGTTGGACTGATCACCCCGATATTATCTTTTTACGCGGGCCCTTGGCTTCTACATAGATGGTCGTCCCTCCTTCCGGCGAAGCCAGCAGTAGTCCCGGATCGAACCTCAACAGAGCGCTGACAGTCTGACGCGCCAGCCAAGCCTAATGTCTTCGTGGTCCCTCATGCCGAGTCCTCGTAAGTACACTGAGGCTTGCAAGTCATCCGAGTCGATCATCATTGATGCTGATGGACACCCCAAGCTGGCCCATTTGAACCACTTATCTTTGCGTGCTCGCCTTTTAAAGATTGTTGCCAACTTACCACTGACAACTGTTGGCCACGATGTCAAGCGATACGGGCGGTCTTGACGTCACTGATATGGGGTCCGGAATAGAGGAACGTGAAGCGCGGTTCCAGGACGTCAAAAGCTGAATCTGAAAGAACAAAGTCACGGTCATTCTTATCATTTCAAATTCAATCACAAGCCTTTCTGTTTGGCTGATCGGGGGCTACGTTTTGCCCTCAGATATTTCCAGGCGTTTGGAGTCGACCACATCAAGCCCCGATATCGATGTTCAACATGGAGGACATACCAAGTCTACTTGCTTTGGTCTTGTGCTAGAGGCCGAGCATCTGAGGGGCGAAGATATCAAGATGAACCACCCTTGGCAGCTAGATTGGAGAGGATTGAGGGGGTGGAGGAGAGGGTTGGGGAGGTGCAGAAGGGCGTTGGGTATCGTGAGGAGGTGGTTGGGCGGAGGGAGCGAGAGGTGCAGGAACTGGAGCAGGCGGAGGTGGAGGAGAGGGAGGAGAAGGTCGTGCAACTTCAGCAAGCTGTTGATGAGCGGGAACGGGCACTTGATCAGAGAGAATCTGAGCTTGAAGAACGTTCCAAGTGGGGAGTCTCTGAAGCTTCAACAGTCGGCGGTTGCAAGTTGGGATGTCTGCCCTCGTTTCTTGTGTTACATATCGACAGATCTTGGTACATCGACCCCTTCTGAGCCTAAATCCTGACCTATCCCATTCCGAAAGCATACACCCTTTCCAATGTTCGCACCCTCTCCAATGTTCGCCAATCAGATAAATTCAACAAGACCTAGCAAACGGTGGATATCAAATACTCCGATAGAGGGAGGAAACCACTCACAGCTCCGCACAACTGCCAAAGAAAATCAATAACGACCTAGTAACCCAAGGGCAAATTGGACACTTATAGCGTTTTTTACCCTTGGAATTAATCACCATGTATCCTGAATAAATATCTGTTCCGATAAAGCATCAACAATCTGTGAAAAAGCAGAATAGAAAAAACAGACAGTTATTATACTGGGACGTCATGGGGAGAACAACTCCATCTGTGTGAACAATCTCATCTTTGATCATTGATAGCCAGGTGGACTTGTTTACTTCCTCAGGTGCTATGGGGTACTTTAGGATGAGGATCGGATTATCTCAGGAACTGTTACTCACTCCAATCACGCTTTGCCCGAGCACGTTTCGTGAATTTTGGATCTGGTCCATCTGGAAAAGCACAGTTTGTTGCTGCAGTGTCTAGTGGATATTCACTGAGAACTTTATCTGATGTAGGCTTAGCCTTTTGATCCGCTGCTGTATCGGCGGTTGCATTGACAAGGGCTACGGGATCATCTTCATCACTACCCGGATAAGCGTCATCTTGGAAGGATATGATGTTGGTGTCGTTCATGGCAGTGTCACTAGTCATGTCTTGGAAGAGTTCCATGTCCTTGTAGAGCGCATGACCGGGTGTGACGAGGCCTTCAGCTTTTGTGATGCATGCTTTCAAAGACCCAGCGGTAAGAGGGGGAGCGATGAAGACGGCGTTGATGCGCCCTAACGATATGTCACTCTCGTCAAAGGATGTCTTTGCCTTTTCTTCATCTCCTTCTCCTTCTGCTGAGTAAACGCGATAGTATACTGCGAAGCTGCTGAGTGCACTATTTAGGTAGGAGACATCGACAAAACTTGCCGTAATGGATATTGGTATCATCAGAGCGTTCCGGGAGCTTCTCTGGCTGTGTAACGTCCTTGATTCTCTTCTCCGACTCGACAACCAGCGCGATCGGATCTTGTTCAGACAGGCCTGGCCCAGAAGGACCATAAAGAGATAGGTGGGCAGAGTCTTCTTTGGGTGCTGGGCTTGAGAGCGGTGTGAAGACAAGGGCCTTGTCGGGCTCCGAGGGGCCCTCAAGTTTGCACAAGGTCCGCCTGAAAGACGTGACCATGTGAGGAGGGGCAAACAATTTCGACGGAATGTGGCCAATGAAACGGTCGTTCTGGTAGAGGGCGTGATTCGATTCAAATGCACCGAGTTTGGTGTACAGACGGTAATATACTGCACACGTAAATTAGGCCATCCAAGCCAGCAATAGAGCTTTCGGGATAGGGCGCACCATAGCTAGGACCCGTCCTTTTCGTTGACTTTCCTCCTTTCGCTGCTGGATCTGCACCCCCTTTGCCGTCCGAAGAGGCTGTGGAACTGGACGTATGATCATGACCGGGCAGAGGAGACATAGCTGCTTCCAAACAGCACCTATTGAAACGTCAGCAAGATGGGCGATGGAAGGAAAGAGCAAAGGGGTGGCGGAATGTGGATTTTAGATATACAGTCACATTACAAATTAGGGGGCCCTCGGCCTACCCCCCCCCACCTCTACCCCCCCAAAAAAGGAAACTTCCGAGTTCCTATGTCAAAAACATATTTTTTTTGGAGTTACTACGTGCGACGACGCTTCACCCCCATATCCATACAAGTCGGACACATCCAAAACTTCGATGAATGGCTAACCTTCACACATTTCGTGTCAAACTAAAGTGCCAGATGAAGTTGATCAGCAAAACAAACTGATAACCTCCAAAACTTGAAGATTCACGTACCCAGAGAGTCTCGCAACCCTCTCCTTTGCATTCAATAGCACTGCCCCCAAACTGACTTCCTCCCCACAGCCGTGACATCCTCGGTCCAATTGCAGTCGTTTTTTACCGCGGGTACGTGTGCGCCGGCATCCTCGCTATCGACAAGATTGATCACGTCACGCATAGCGACATCTTGCTGCACCTCCGTCTCGCTGCGCACTGCAGATTTGCTTTGCCACCTGTTCCAACAGGAATATATTTCTCATATTTTGGGCAACAAAGCTTGCTGTCGCTCGTAAACCCCGACGCTTTTCTGCAATACAGTATTGGATTAGAATATATATATAAAAGAGGGACTTACTTCTTTGCCATACTTTTTGTGAACCTGAGTGGTGTTAGAAAAAAGTTCGTTGAGTTTTTTTGGGCTCTCAGCGCTATTTGGCTTATTGGCAGTAGGGCTGCGCACCGTCTGTTTGACGGGGACGGCCGTCGATCGACGGGCATAAACTTGGGCTGGATGACGATGCCTGTGGAGAATAGCGGATACGGATATTGAGCTTGAAAATTAAATTATGTAATCATCACATGATCACTGCACGCTACTATCGTCTCTCTCAACTACAACGGACTTATCATGAACCAAGGTACGACTTCACATCATATCGAAGCTGTCTAGGAGAGACTACGACGGACTCGGATTCTCAATCGGTACACGTTAAAGAACTGGGGAAACATCCTATAATTTGTTTGGGAGCACCCGGAAACTCAGAAGGCATGTAAGTCCCACATATTTCTTCCTTGCGCCGTTGCTGATGCAACCGACATTTGAACAGATCACGGTTTGGACAAGAATTCACGGCGGCCATGGAGAATAACTTTGCAAACCCCTCAGGTGCGTAAGCTATCTTTTTGATCTACTCAACTTACTTGCGTTCTTTCAATCAAATGATAGATTCTTGGGGAAATCCCCCATCTCTGGTTCCGCTAATCATTCCAACCTCCCCTGCCATCCATTGCACGCTTTCAGCAGCGAATGCCGTACCCTCTGGCTCACCTTTCGCTTCCCACGCACTCTCCACGGCTTATTTCAAGCCCTCTATCAGCCACCAGCCCATCGGCCGCCTCACATACGCCTCAAACAGTCCATCTCGAACCTCCCTAGGTGGCTGTTTCATCCGCTAGCTCATTGACCGCTTTATACGCACCCAATACGCACCTTCCAACAATAGTTACTCTTCCGGAAAGTAAACGCGGCCGCCTAAAAGGGAGCGCGAAAATCAAGCCAGTGACATACAGCCCACGTCGAAGACTCAGACGGCCTCCATGAACTGGGTATAAGCAGAGGCTGAGGGCATTGTTGGGTGAGGATGCAGTTGGAAACAGGATTCGTCACCTGTTTCTATTGAATTCGGAAAAATGGTAGGTTTGTTATATCAATATTATTTTTCCTTCACTAATCTACTCTTAGTGGTCTCTGGAACACCTTCACAACATGAAGATCCTTCTTTCCAGGCACCATGTTGCCAAAATGTAAGTCTGGTATGGCCCTCCCCCTTTTTTTAGTACCAGATGCACGGTCCCATCGCGTCTGCAACGTGGCAACCCGACACAAACCAGTGGCGACCACAATGACAAATGGTATGCTAATTTTCATCATCATTATCATTGTGAGTCCCCCGCCATCCCACCTCTTCCCTGCCACCCACCTAACATGCTGCCACCACCAGACAATGACAGCGGCCATGGCCACGTCATTCCTCCCAAGCAACAACTGACCACCACGGACAACCATGAATGATCACGACACGTCAACACAATCATGCAACAACCACGGCAGAACAAAAGCACACGACGAGACACGATCATTACCAAACAAGCAGGGTCCACGTCGCCGTGAGCAACGTCACACGACAAGGACACCCAACGACGAGGGATGATGAAGATGTCCTGGCATATCAATGGATGTGCCATGTCGTCCAGACTGTGATGATGCTGCCCACATTAATCCAGGTGAGCAAGATGGCTTCTCTCCCCACCTTTCTAATGAGAAGCAGGGGCCACGTCAGCGACATGCCCTGCTTCATCGTAGTCATTTAGTCATCTGTGTAGTACTATCTTTCTATGTGTAGAATACTATTCTCAATGATCATTTTTTTGAACTATTACAAAAAGATGTGCAGGGATTGAGCTTGAATTGGAATTCTGTTGTAACTTATGAACTACATACATAGGGGGTCCAGGGGGCTTCAAGCTGTGTGCTGAAGGAATGGGTCTAAAGTTGTTCTATCTTATCAAGGATCTTTTTGTGTAATCTAAGCGAGTATCCAGCTTATATAACGCAAAATAAATCTAAAAGGAGGAAACAAACCCTGATGATCTCGCAAATCTAAGCGAGTATCCAGTATCCTGCTTTATGCCGCTTTCCTACAGCTCGCAAACACCTACAGGACACATTGCCGCAGCTCAGTGAAGTGTTCCTCAGGTTTCTTGCTTGAGTTGTTGCACGCCGTATTGATATTGTGAGGTTGGGATCCTCCCTTCCTCCTCTTCCCTTTTTCTTTTTTCTTTTTCTTTTTCTTTTATTTTTTAGCCCACAAACACCGGTATCCGGCCTAAACTTGCAACTCGAAAGCCAGAACGGAAACGGGTGGGAAAAAATGGCCGTAAACGGGTTGTACGGCCGTTTGCCCACCCTTTCAATGTATATAATTTTTTTCACAATTTTTGGGTACCTGATAAATGTAAGAAGAGATATAGAGCACGAAGGATGAAGATTTGCACCTTCAAACAGCAAATCGTGAGCTCGAGGTGTGAAAAAACAATGAATAAACCTTTCGCGGGGTTTCAATTGCAATGAGTCAGCACATTCTGGTTGTTTTTGAGCTGCAATTTAACCCGCTTGGAGACATTTAGCATTGATAGAGATATGCAAAATTTAATAATGAAGCACTTCATATATTTCAATAAATAGTACAGCTAATTGTGGGTAAAATTACAGAATATGTCGATGACCCATCTGACGCCCGTTACGGCCGTCATATGACGGATGAAAACGGGTGTTCAGCAAGCCCAAACGGAAATGGGTAATTGTCCGTCAGACCCGTCCGTCGACCCATCTATGACAGGCACGGCGCGCAGCCCTAATTGGCAGGACTTTTCTAAAATAGGTCACAAAAAATATTTCGACCCCCTAGCGGAGCCCCCCCCCCCCCCCAACCCGATATCCGGGATCCACGTTCCGCCACCCCCTTGGGAAAGAGTCTAAGTTATCGAACATGCCTTCATCGGTCATCATCCACAAGGCATTGGCGCTTATAGGCGCTTATGCTGTCACCTTGCTGCCAGAGCAAGTCAGATGTTCTAAATTTGAGCGAGTAGCTGCGCCTTTACCAAACCTTTACTCCATCCAGCGCATGCACTGGCCTTTCAAGCTCCCAACTTCCCGGGTGGAAAAGTATCGGAGCCCAAGTCATGAGAATCCACGATTAGAGTATATGTGAGAGAGGCAGCAATACGATACAGTTCTGACGGTACGCTGGGAGGAGGCTATCGTGCCATGTCTGGAACCAAATTTAAAAAGAATCAAAAATTCAAAAATTCAATCCATGGTGGACCACTACTCTCTGTTCTATACAGCCATTTAGTCTAGTGGAATTTACCCTTATTTTTTTTCCAATGACGCTTGGGCTATTGGGTGTTTGCAGAGGGTTCCTGACATGGATGTGAGGAAGGATAGCCAAAGTCAGAAATCGGGCACAGCGCGCGCCTGATTCCGACGCAATTCCACTCGAGGTATGGCTATATTCCTATATATGATGAAGAACACAACTGTAAAATACTGAGTTGATGAAGTAATGTGTTATCGCAAGAGCCTTCAACAGTGAGTTGGAAACATACCTGGCTGAGGGAGTGAGTGTTGAGACGAGAGCCTTGTGGAAAGGAGTCGTCTCATTGCACCCCTCAGCCATGATGAATCTAAAAATAGGTTAGTTGCAATCCAAGTGTGGATTGTGTAAGTCGAGCAGCGGCTCTGGGTGAGCAGCAGCTCTAGTAGTTGAGCAGTGGCTCAGAGTCGCGTGTCAGCGGACACGGCGACTGAAGGTACGCGTGCGAAACAAGCCCTGGTCAGCTTACATTGGACTTGAGTAAACAAATTTTAAACTTGACCATTTTGCCTGATGTGCTGAGTTCAATTCCTCTGTAAGGTATTTTTTTGCCCTTCCTCTTCCTGATAGCTAATCCAGTCAGCTCTCCCTCTTCTTAAAATATTCATGCAAGGCATTGGTTATCTTTATTTACATTTTGTTGAATGATGGGTAGAGAGGAGTACCTGCTCAAGCACAATCAGCCATTCTAGAAAGACATTTGTGAAAATTATCATCTGTCTTTCCTTTCTTTCATGAATATATTGACATTTAACATCCTCCTCCACTCCATAAATTGATTGTTAATTTTCCTTTCATGTGCAAGAGTGTCTGGTGCATTTAAGGTACATTTTATTTGAAACTTCCATACCTGCTTTTGCATGTGGTAAAAGAAATTCCATGCAACTACCGAGATACAAAATTTTAGCCCATATTATGTAGCCATGGATATATTAGCTATTGAAGGATGGACATCTAATTGCAGCTACAGATGCTGCTTTACTATTTGCCTTTCTGCTCTTTTGATGCTAATTCTGCATCTTGTCATTGCAGAAACACAGCAATGACTCAAGAGCTTCTGAAACTTGTATACATTGACATTAATTTTTTTCCAATGGATTCCTCTCACAATCACATTGTCAGTCTTTTCTTTCTTACAATTATGCCTATTTTTGTAGAATAAATTTCAGACTGCTCATGGGTGCTATAGAAGTTGTTTATTATAAGATTTTGAAGCTTAGAGAAGGAACCATCTTTGAAATAGTCAGGTTTTGATTTTTTGGCAACCAAGTGGCATTACAGATTTCAAAAGGGTGACTGATATCATTTTCTCAATTTGAGCACCTTTTGATGGGGATTCATAACAATTTTTTTGTTTATTATGACTGTCATTGTAATGTTCTATTTTTTGGTTCAGTTTTTCACTTTAAGTGAAGACATTTGGATGTGGCAATGAGGAGAATGAATTTTTGAGTAGAGATGTAAGCCATGTGAACAAATAGCCAAATCCGTCAGCAATAGCCGGATTTGTACTAAATTCTAAAGTGGAAGGAGGCTGTGTGAACAATTACCACTTTCAGAATTAGTAGCCCAAATCGGGCTATTGGAGGTTCCAGACACCACACAATAGCCTGGGAGGAAGAGAGTTATTAACGTTTGAGTGCAGGTATGACGCATACCCATGCCTATAAAATTCCATGGCTGTTCAACGGGCCTTGCGAAGTCAGGCATGCGGGCGCCTCTCCAGTCAGGGAGAGGTCGTTGGCACACATTGACGTCATGGCGCAAAGAGGATGTGAACAACGTGACAGTGAGCGCTGATCACAACAACTTGAAGTTGAACTTGGTTGTAATGAATCGCAAGTCAAAACCATGGCGTTGAACGTTGAGTACTCTTGACATCAGATTCACAACCACCGCCGTCCGCCGAACAGATCCTGCACATCCTCCACATCCACCTATTCATTCCCCCAGACCAGCTCATTCACAAAGGATTCTACCTCTATCGTCATCTCCAAACCCTCATGAAACACAGTAAAACCAAACACACACCCCTACGCCGTAAAACAACATCACAGTCATCCTTTTCTGCTCTTCTTCCTCACCGCACCACCAGGTCCATACTACCAGCACCACTACGTCCCATCTATGCCTTCGCCGAGTGGTCAGGTGTCCCTAACGAAATATAAGCTCCCTAGAGAGATCAGGTGTAGGTATAGTAGGAGCTTGACGTCCGAGGAACCCAGGTCTTTGCCGGTTCCGCCTTCAAGGTCTCCGTCGTGACTACTGCGCAGCAGCTCTCATCAAATGTGGTGAAGGGGGGCGATTTGGAGAGGTATGTGTTCTTCTTGTTCTTGGTTTTGTTTCTACCTAGTGCTGATTGGAATCAAAGGTCCGAACTACCAACAACCCACCACATCCACCCCCTCTCCACCTCCCGCTCCCTGTCTCAAAACATCCGACGAGGCGGGGTTCGAGTCGGGCCATAGCTTCCCCGTTCATTCTCTACAAGATGACGATTCCTCTTCCAACTCTTTTAGCGTTGATGTGGGGAGGAGGAGCAAGAACACCAGCTTCGATTCTACTTCCAATCGAAATGGGGGGGTGAATGTTCACCGAATAAAAGCCAACCGAACTCAACGTCTTATTTCTGACTAAAGGCCAACGACATTCCGCGTCTTATTCGGATTTGACCAACAAGACTCAGCGCACTCTTTTTCGCAGGAGATGACAGTCCATAATTTACTCTCATTTTCGGTCCCACGCTCCATTTGTACCTATGGGGTCTCCGTTCGTTTCTACGGGGGTCTTTGTTCCCTTCAACAGGCACTGGTTCGCCATTCGTTCTTATGCATTCTGAGTCTCCATTCGCGTCCACATGTATGGGCCCTCCGTTCGCCCAAGCTCCAATGGACATAGCAGGACTGTATGAGCTTGGATACCGCCATGCGCCTCTACCTTCATCTTCCATCCTAACGGAATCTTCATGTTCCGTGCCGCCATTCGGTGCAATTTCAATCCGTTAGGCGTCAGTCGTCCAGGCCAACAACACACATGTCCTTTTACTCTCCTGCCACATAACGGACAACACCTTCTCGTAGACCCCCCTATTCCCAGTGCTGGTGTGAGTGGGGAAAGAAAGAGGGAGGGCATTGCGACGACGGTGACCGATTCTAGGTCTGTTAAACATCATCATTCTAGGCCAGCCCAGGGTTGGAGTTGGGGTTCAGGGGTTGGCTAGATTTTATGATGTTCCAAGGGATACGTCTGGTGATGATGTTATGAGAAATACATCTGGTGCTGCTCTTTACACACAGGCAGAAACAGAAAGAAGCTATGACACCGCTCCATCACAATTATCCAGGGACGGAGACAGAGACAGAGGGGGCCGAACCATACCATCGACGAGAAGGGGAAGGAGAAAGCCATCGACGAGAAAGACAATGACGGGAAGAGGAAGAAAGATGCACGAGACAGAGGGAGACAAGAGGTGACTTATGGACCGCATTCGACCTTGACCCACCTCGACATCATGGACCTGTCAAACAGGAACAAGTCCAAGAACCTGGTCACGGCAATACCTCCCTCACTCCCATCGACTCAAACCTCACCTCTCTCGCCTCAAATGACTCAAGCTCAGACTTGACCGCCCTCCGGATAGCACTCACAACCCGCGAAGAAGCCCTAGACCAACGTGAGCTTGGGCTGGCGGCTAGACAGGAGAGGATTGAGGGGGGTGAAGGAGAGGGTTAGGGAGGTGCAGAGGGGTATTGTATATCGTGAGGAGGCAGCTGGGCAACGTGAGGAGGCTGTTGGGCGGAGGGAGAACAAGGTGGAGGAGAGGGAGGACGCGGTTGAAAGGAGGGAGCGGGAGGTATGAGGGAGAGAAGAGAAATCTATCAACAGTGTTTCCCACGGGAGACAAGACAATCTGGCTTCTGATTGGCTGAGCCAATTTGGGCATTTTTTCTCCCACCACCTGCGTTGACATGGACAACTCAATAAGAAAAAAAGTACTCTTCCAATCATGCATTAAATGTCCTCAAGCCTGCAACCTTTGACGAAACTGCTGGCCCTTGGCCCTTGCTTCCTGTTCTGTCGCCATACCATATCTTTCTGGAATGTTCGGACTGCTAGGACCCTTGCAGCACACTTCAAGATCACAAGGGAGGTGCTCCAGTCGCGAACTTCCAACACGTACGGTGATTACCAGTGCCCACAAACAATATGTAAGTATTTTTCCCTTTCATTGACCCCCAGGAAGTCATATGCCACTCAATAGGACTGATGAAAACCTCAATACACCACAACAATATCAAACTCGGAACCACCAAGCTCTTCGTCAACAAAACGCGAACGTGGATGCAAGCCCTCACCGCCGTCGAACTCCAGCACCGAGACCTGAAACACCGACACCCCAACCTGGAGCTGCCGAGTGAGCAAGGATGAATACATGGTGAAACTTGGAATAATGACTTGCAAGACAGTCCCAGAAGGTGACATCCCTGCAATACGCAAGATGAAAACCTTGCGCCGGATCCACCTGACGCTGAAGGGTCAGCAAGAAGGGTTGCTCTGGGGCATAGGGTGTGTAATATCAAGTCATTTCGTGAAAATAAGCATCACCTTCCCCCTTTTTTTTAAGATCCCTCTCACTCCTCTTCCGAATCACATACTATTACCCTGTGCTCCTTCTACGCAAATGGCCATTGGCGCTAATCATCAAATTATCTCACCCCGGCGGCAGCAGGTGCAACCAACTCAAAGAGATCCGTCGCTCTGCAAAACCGGCACCAACAAGCCCATCTTCAACGCAACCAAGCATCGCAGACCAACCAATGTATTTATCATTTTGTCCTCCAAGACTCATGCACTCAATGGATCCATTTTTTTCTTTTTTGTTGAATAGCTACTCCCAATGCCTGCTCTTTGGCTCAGGAATGACAGCACGAGCGTGAAGTGCAACAGCAACAAAGTGTTAGCAGAGTTTAGAGTCAGCAGAGTAAGTACATTGTAAGTACATGACTATTATCAAGAAAGGACAGTATCGGCTATTTGACATATTTCCACTCGAGGTATGGCATGACCACCTTTGGTCCCCAAGTGTGGGAACTAAGTCTGCCTACAGTAATGTACATGTAAATACTCAGAAAATAGGAAGAGGGTGGGTGGGCAACTATCAGGATAGAGTGAGCTATTGTAATGACAACCCTAGAGAAGAAAAAAAAATTGCACCTAGCTGAGGGAGTGAACTCAACCAATCATGAGCATTATCAAGAAAGGTCCTGTGCAAACGCACGGGTATCGGCTAGTCATATTATAATATGACAACAGTGTTTTCACTGTCTTTTGATTGGCTGAGACACGCCACACAAGATATTTTCCACAGTCGACGGTCATGTGTTCCGCATGTAATCTTATCAGTTTGCATTCAATTGCTAGGTATCTAGGGCGCCTCAGTCAGCTGGCCCTAAACAATGAGCACTATATATACCACTGCAGCCACCACTGACATGTACCCTTTTCTTTTTTCACTCCATACTTCCTCCTCCTCCTCCTCACATATGTGTATTATAAGTAGATTTTGTAGTGTATGTACTTATTCAGATTGAAATGATTGAAACAATGACTTCCGTGCATTGTCCACAACTGACCTTGAGTATATATCATAGTTAAACCCTCCATTCAACCTCCATTGATGAACTTATGGCCGTCATGAAAAACAGGATGGTTGTCTTCACCAAAAGCATTTTACAGGCGTAAAACTGATGGCCATCATAATACAGGCAGTGTGCAGCCCTAATTTTTCCCATTTCACTTTTGAACAAAATTTCCTGACCACGTAAAATCCAGTTTTCTCCCTGTCTGAACATGTGTGGTTTACGGCCTAGAACTAGATACCTTGTGGCAAGGAGTTGTACTGCAGATCCTGAATCAAATGTTGGGGGATGTTCAATAGTATGTCAGTGCTGATGAGATGATATGTGAGGCATGGAGCTGATCCTGGGGACAATGAACACATCCCAGTCGAATTTTTGTGGTCAATCAATTCTTCCAGCCTTCCTCCTGGTGAACTCAATCTCAAGGCTGGATGTCCAGTTATTCTCCTTCACAACCTCTCCCTGTCACAAGGTCTCTGCAATGGTACTCACATGATTGTCACAAGAATGCACAATAGAGTCCTTGAAGTTTGTCTTATCAGAGGAGAACATGATGGAGAGACCACTTTAATTCCATGAATTTTCTTGATGTCTGCTGCAGACGTGACCTTCAAATTTAAGCAACATCAGTTTCCTGTCCGACTTGCTTTTGCACTGTCTATCAACAAGGCACAGGAACAGTCTGTACAATATGTTGGACTTGATGTCTGAATTCCTGTGTTTGTGCATGGTCAACTTTATGTCGCACTTTCACGGGCTATGTCAAGCCACAATATTAAGGTTCTTCCTCATGATGTCACTGAACCTATTACATCTAATATGGTATACCAAGAGGTCCTCTTAAACTAGAGTACATTTGATGATAGTGTGTAAACAAGAATACAAGATTTAAAGAAGTTTGTTGCGCCTCAGGCATCAGAATGCGCACCCGAATCATCGTTTCCCATGATGAGCAACATCTTTCACCACAGGAGATTGCAGGCCTTATTGGATGTTGCGTCTGGTAAGCAGTCTCTTACTTCCCGATTTGAGGGTCACAGTACAACATACACAAACACGATTTTTGTGCAAACTGTAGTGATTCAGAATGACACCACAGGTCAACAGCTTTTGTAGCTGGAAGGCATAAATGAAGCAAAGTGTACATGCCTCAGACTGAAATAAAAATTGTGAATTTGCATATATTACAGCTAACTGCATAATCGTAGACCACATCTGAAATTTCACTTTGCGCCTTTGTCTGTGCGTAAACATCTGTTTTAGGCCATGGCTGTGTAAACCATGATGCCCATTTGCACATGCTGCCCATTGCTCCACATTCTAGCACTGTTTCAGTAGTTGCTCCAAATGCTCCAATCCTGCCCCACACGTCATAAGGGTGGAGCAGTTGGAACTTGCCAACTTGGAAGGGTGTTCTACCTAATATGGTTGTTTGTACAAATAAAGGTGCACAAAGTAAAATTTAGATATGGTCTACAATTATGCAGTTAGCTGTAACACTTTCCTGGGATTGGACACAGAGCCTGCAGGATCAGAAAGTGCAGGAAATTTTACCTCAGCCAGAGATCGAACACAAGGGTTCAGGAATCAGGCACACCACATGTTATACACAGAAAGCAGCCCATTAGACCATTACACCACATGTCTTTAGAGAACAGTGAGGCACATTTCACTACATAAGATCAGAACACACTTGGGCAGAGTAATATCAAGAAAGAGCCACCTGTGCGAATGCATGGGTATCGGCTAGCATAGAATGGCAGAAAGATTTTAACCTTTTGATGGCTGAGTAAGGCTGACACAGCGATGACTAAGGCTGGCCAATGATGACTAAGGCTGACAAATTCTTATATAATCACTCTGAACCTCACATCTTTATATTGAGCTTGACCCCACCTACCCTCTTCAACTCCAGAAAAATATCTTTTCATAGCTCATCCATGTTTATAGACCCTCTATGAATTGCTTGAGATTTTTTAGGCATGTAGAGTTGTAAATTCTAATTTCTGCACAAACTTTTTTGCATTGCCTGCTCTTTGTGGTTGAACCTCAGTTCTGCTCCAAGTAAAAAATATCTATCATTGTGGTAGTGACCCACCACAACTTCTATCATGTTTGAGTTTCTTTTTTTCTCCCCTCTTGCATGTACAATATTTGATTTCTGTGCATAGCAAGCCTCCAGAGACTTGGGAATGCTTCTTGAAACATCCCATCTACAAATGAGGGTTATCATCATATCTCAGGATGTTGGATGGGTCTGCTGTTTTATGCCAGAATTTTGCCCCTGCACCCCAGCTCTTCATTGAGAAAGTGCAATGCCAAAATATGGATGTGGGATCTTCATGTGCACCTCTCAAAGCTATCTATTGTATTCCATCTAACAATATATCAGAAATGTGAATGTAGTTGAATATGTGACTGGAATTTCGAAGATTTCTTTTTTGTAACTTAGGAGGTTGCTTATAATTGAATATTCTGAATAGGCCTCCAGTTATACATTAATATGGATGATAAAAATATATAATTGGAGAGTTGTGAATCCTCCAGGTAAATGGGGGCTGAGGGAGCTGATTTGGGAGAGGACAGAGGAATTTCAATAAATATAAGTAAAGATTTAGTCAATTTAGTCCATAGAGATGAGAAACCCAGAAAGAGATCATCTAATTTTCAAAATCACTACAAGTCTCTACTTTCTAATTTCAGGGAAGCTGAGGAGGTAGGGAGGGTCATGTTAAAATATATTTATTGTACATATTGGTATTTTTCAGTTTAAGAATATGAGAAACATTGGAGCAGGGTAGGGTAGTAAGGTGTGTAAAGTCAGAAGCAAGAGTACCATTCATAAAAGACATGTAAAAAATATTCAAGGCTCTTTTTATGATCTGAATTTGCAAGATAATATTTGAAAAGACTTGGATTAGAGGGCCTGCCCCCAGAATAGGAGCAGCCAAGTTGTTGGTCATGTGGAAGCAGGGGTTGGGGCCTAACAGGCTGTGGACTTGGCACATAAGAGATTAGAATAATTCAAATAATAATCCTTAAAAAGTTTCTCACTGTGATGAAAAATTTATTGTATATGGAGATGGAGCATTCATTTACACCAACATATAAAGATTAGAATGTATATGGGGATTGGGATTGAAGATGAGTACTGAAACTGGGATTCAAGATGTGTACCGGGGGGTCCAGGGGGCTTGCCCCCAGCAAGCTGTGACCCATGCTGAAGGCATGGGTCTAAAGCTCGTTCATGGAATTGGAGAAAGCGATTGATGAGCGAGGACGGGTGCTCGATCAGAGAAAATATGAGCTTGAAGAACGCTCTAAACGGATTCAAGAGCTCAAGGAAATACATGATGCTCGACTTGGTACTCTCAACGCATCCACTTCGTCGAATTCATGGCCCATCACTCTTCTTTGGTCCATCGTCTTTCATGTGCTGGGCGACAAGACGTCTTCGTTGCTCTTTCCCTCTTTCCCTCCCTCCTCCTCTAACCCAAGCTCTTCTTCCTCCTCCAACCCAAATTATTCTGCTACCACCCCCCCTCCAAGAAGACCCCGACGCGACTGGGAAGCCCGACACGATCTGTACCTCTCAACAGGTGGATGGGGGAGTTACCTCGTACTTGTGGGCATTGGCGTGTGTGCTGTTGTGTTGAAGGTGCTTGTGAGGAGTTGACTGGGGTTGGGATTTGGAATTAGTTGAAGAGGAAAAGCAGGAGGTAGTGTCGACTAAATTTGAAGGTGGGAGACGCTTTTCAATCTTATGACTTTTATGACCTATATGACTTTTTCACGATCTCTTTTTGACTGACGCTGATGAGGAATTGAATAAATGATTGCTCGCACATGCAGGGGTTTTGTGTTTTTTTGTTCGTGTATAACTCTTACTTATACCTTATACCTTACATATTGCTTGGATCTTCGAGCAGCACTAGATGTTTGAAAGCTTCAACCGTCCGCATCCCAGTCGCCATGGTAGGTTGTGATGTCTGGTTCATTTTCATGGATCAGATCCTCGTTTCTTGTGACACATATATACAACAAATCTACAGTACTGGTACGTCGAATCCTGACATATCCCATTCCGAAAGCATACATTCTCTCCGATGTTCACCAATCAATCAAAAGCAAGTTGAACTAGCAAACAGTGGATATCATATCAAATACTCCGACAGAGGGAGGAGACCACTCACTGTCTTGGACAACTGCCAAAGAAAATTAACAACCACCTAGTGACCCAAAGGCACACAGCCTTTTTCACCCTTGGAATTAATCACCATGTATACTTTATAAGGGCCTGTTCCGACAAACCATCAACAAACTGGTGATGAAGCAGAAAAGGAAAGAAATACAGCTGGCACCATCAGGGGTGTAAATTTTGGAGAGAATAACTCCATCCGTGTGAACAATCTCATCTTTGATGATTGATAGCCAGGCGGAATCACCGCTATGGTAGTCTGCAGTGGGATACTATAGGATGAAAGTTAGATTATCTCAGGAACTGTTACCCACCCCAATTATTACATAACTGAGCGTGTTTCGTGAATTTTGAATCTGGTCCATCTGAAAGAGCAGGGTTAGTTGCCACAGTGTCTAGTGGATATTCACTGAGAAATTTACCTGGTGTAAATTTAGCCTTTTGGTCAGCTTCTGTATTGGCGGTTGCATTGACAAGGGCTACAGGATCGGCTTCATCACTACCAGGATAAGTGTCACCTTGGAATGATATGACATCGGTGTCGCTCATGGCAGCATCATCATCCGTGTCTTGGAAGAGTTCCATATTCTTGTAGTGTGCATGACCCAGCATGACAAGGCCTTCAACTTTTGTGATGCGTGCTTTCAAAGACCCAGTGGTGTGAGGGGGAGCGACGGAGAGGGTGTTGATGTGTCCCAACGAAAGGTCACTTTCATCAAAGGATGTCTTTGCCTTTTCTTCTCCTTTGCTGTCCAATAGGTAAACATGATAGTATACTGCAAAGTTGATGAGTGCAGTATTTAGGTAGGAGACGTCGGCAAGACTTGCCATAGTGCCAGTGGACATCGGTATCATCCTGTTCCGTCAAATTCTTCGACTGCAAGACCTCCTTGGTCCGCTTCTCCGACTCGACAATCAACGCGATTGGATCATGTTCAGACAGCCCCAGCCCAGAAGGAGCCTTCAAAGGGAGGTGGGCAGAGTCATTTTTGGGTGCTGGGCTTGAGAGCGGTATGAAAAGAAGGGCCTTGTCGGACTCCGAAAGGCCCTCGAATTTGCAGAGGGACTGCTTGATAGACACCACGGTATGAGGAGGGGCAAACAATTTCGATGGAATACGGCCAATGAAAGTGTTATTATGGGCATGATTCGATTCAAATGCACCGAGTTTGGTGTATAGACAGTAATATACTGCACACATAAATTAGGCCATCCAAGCCAGCAGTAGAGCTTTCGAGATAGGGCGCACCATAGCTTGGACCCATCTTTTTCATTGACTTTCCTCCTTTCGCTGCTGAATCTGCACTCCCTTTGCCGTCCAAAGAGGCTGTGGAACTCGGCAGAGGAGACATAGCTGCTTCAACCAGCACCTATTGAAAACGTCAGCAAGATGGGCGATGGAAGGAAAGGGTCTTCAGTTATCGGACATGCTTTATCGATCATCATCCACGAGGCATTGGCGCTTATTCTGTCACCTTGCTGCCAGAGCAGGTCAGATGTTCTAAATTTGAATGAGTAGCTCTGCCTTTACTCCATCCAGCGCATGAACTGGCCTTTCAAGCTCCTAACTTCCAGGGTGGAAAAGTCTGGAAAAAGGGAAAAGTATCGGAGCCCAAGTTCATGGGAATCACGATTAGAGTACATGTGAGAGAGGCGGCAATTTGACGATACAGTTTTGACGGTGCGCTGGGAGGAAGAGAGTTGTTAAGGTCCAAGGATTGGTCACTGGAAGTGGTGGGTTGACAGCACAAGTGTGTTTGAGTGTGGGTATGACGCGTACCCATGCCCATGAAATTCCATGGCTGTTCAAGGACCCCTGAAAGTACCCTCAGATGCCTGATCCAGATCTGGATAGAAATTGGCGAAATTTTTGGAAATGCCTTAGGTCTGTCTGGATAGAAATTTCACTATTTTGGTGAAATGCCAGAGGCAGTTTTCCGGATAGGAATTGGTGAGGCTGAGCAACCCTGAGCCGATGTCTGGATAGAAATATACGCTATAGAAATTTAAGCTCGAAAAAGGCAGTGCACGCTCACTGCTGCCGCCAACTTATTTATTGGTATATACTTTAATATTTTTCTTTCCCATTCTTTCCCCTTGTTCTCCATTCTTTCGGACAATCCTTCTGTGATATATATATTTTCTCGCATCAAATTGGCTCTCAGTTCTGCATGAACTTGTTGCCTCGATCATCTCCCGCCATCTGCCTTCTTGTGCACCCTCATACTCCGAAAATCACGCAAAATGGCCTCAAAATATCTACAGATGATTGGAAGCTGTTCAAAGAAATCAAGGACAACAGCAAGACGGTAAGTTTACAGACCTTGAAAGCTTTCAAGCAAAGGCAACTGTGGAAGATGAAGAATAGCTTGTTTATCTTCAAATTTCTGCATGTATAATGCATATACTATGTTCACTTATGTATATTTTACTTTTTCCTGATGTACGGGCCTCCAGAGAATGCCTAGGAGGGGCCGGGAGGGGCCAACAAGCCAAAATTCACTCTTTTCGCGCCAATTTTTGAAAAATAGCAATTTTTATAGGCCTGATCCATGTCTGGATAGAAATTGACCTTATTGAAGGCCAGATCCAATATCCGGATAGAAATTTGGCAAAACCGTCCAGATAAAAATCGGGCAGTTTGGGGCATTTTGGGATCAGGCATCTGAGGGTATGGCAACAGGGACCAGCCAGCTTCAATATCACGGCTAAGACCGATATTTGTACACTGCCGATTGATATGCCGAAGCTAATTATAACTACTTTACGATATAATATTTTTATCGTCCACCATATTTCATACCGTCACAATTTCCTTGCAATTTCCTATTGGTTATCGCCAAAGGGAAAGCGCCAATTCATGTTGGTTCCTGTACAATGTACACCTCGTATCTTTAAATTCGTTGAAACAGGAAACTTTCCTACTAACATCAAACGTACTATCTACTTACAGATACTTACCTCAAGGAGCGGTGGTTCAGGCCACTACAGTCCTACACTACATACATTCCATGTATTTCCTCCAACATTTGATAGACAGATGGCGGCAAACATGCAACAATCTGGATTGGCGATGCCTGAGTTGGTGGTGGCAAGAAGAACTGTTGAACATGCGTCATCAGTGAGGGAGGACGAGTGGATGGGCGACGTAACACGCAACTCCTCCAATGCACAGTTTCCCATTGATATAGAGGCAGTGGTTGAGCTGATGTGGGAATGCTTCGGATTGACGAGATTGGGTTGGCGGTGGGACGGTGAATTATTGGACACATCAAATTTCAACAGTAGTACCATGACATAGAAATATGCTTCACACCTCCACAACGAGCGAGACGATGAATAGCAGGCTTCGTGATACCTATGAAACCGGTGAGCACTCAGCAAATGAGAGGGTGGCAATGACCATTCATGGAAATATACCCTAGGTGTTATCGCGAAGAATCTTACAGTGGCGTTAAGCTCCGCCTCTCTGAAACCCTGGAATATCAGAATACATGAGTCCTTGCTGCTTCGTCCAAGAAGAAGGACGCGATGGAGCCAGAGAAGATGTCAGCTGCAAATGCCACCAGACGAGCAAATGTTGACTCTTCATCCGAGATCCACCTGAGAGTCCACTGCACCTTCCGCTTGATGCAAGTTGGATGCAAGGAATTGTCTCGTCTCATAGTTTAGCCTCCTCGCCATCACGAATGGTGTCAGGTGACTCAGGCAATCGCTCATCATCAGTAAGTTTCACAAAGAGCTTCTTGAAAACCGTCTTTGTTGGTGAGTTGAGAAAGAAGGTCCAGCTGCATCACGCAGCTGGACCTGCGGCGACCTGAAGAGTGTTCATCAGAGGTATATGAGGTGATGCGATGTGATGCGAACCTTCTTGCTGTCCGGGAGACAGAACGGCAGTGAGAGATGAGATCTGAGACCTGATGTTACTAGGAGAAGAAGGGGAGTGGTGAAGAAGGGAAGCAGGTTTCGGTAGGAGATGGTAGCTCAATCGCAAAGTTTCCTATTTCAACGAAGATACGAGATGTACATCGTAGGGGAAACAATCCAAATCGGCGCTTTCACTTTGGCGATAACCGATAGGAAATTGCAAGGAAATTGTGACAGAACGAAATATTTAATGGACGATATCAATATTATATTGTAGAAGTTTTAATTAGATTCGGCATATCAATCGGCAGTGTACAAATATCGGTATTAGCCGTGATATTGAAGCTGGCTGATCCCTGTTGCCATATGAGGGTACTTTCAGGGGTCCTGCTGTTCAACGGGCCTTGCGAACCTTGCTATCTAGTCAGGCACACCGGTGCCTCTCCAGTCAGGGAGAGGTCGTTGGCAGGTACACGTTGACGTCATGGCGCAAAGAGGATGTGAACAACGTGACAGTGAGCGCTGATCACAACAACTTGAAGTTGTAACGAATCGCACAGATTCACAACCACCGCCGTCCACCGAGTCGATCCCGCATATCCTCCACATGTAGCTTTTCATTCCCCCGCACCAGCTCACCCAGACCCTATTTCCATCGTCATCTCCAAATCCTTCTCAAACGCAGTAAAACCAAACGCACGCCCCTACGCCGTAAAAGAACATCAGTCATCCTTTTCTGCTCTTCTTCCTCACCGGTCCATACTACCACGCTCACACAGCACATCGCCAGAGCACGTCTCCAGTTGACCAAGTAGCTCCGCCCTTCCTCCATTCAGCGCATGTACTGGCCTCTCAAGCTCTCAACTTGGAAAAGTACCAGACCGCAAGTTCATGAGGAGCCACGATCATATGGGAGAGAGGTGAAAATAAAGGTTAGCGATACAGTTCTGATGGCGCGCTGAGGTGTTCATGTTGAACGCAGTGCGCTCGTATTCTACCTGACCAACACCTACAGCAACTAAGATCGTTACACGGGCCCCAATAGTCCCCGTCGTCGTAAGTACTTACTATCTGACAATACGTTTGCTCACAACGCCACAGTTCAGTGCAATCGATTGCCCAACCATATCCAAACCATATTCGAGTTGTGGTTCGCCTCTAATTCACTTTATATCTGACTTCGACATCACGTCCTTTGAGTCTACCTCAATAAACAAGCCGCCGTCTCCCAAATCATACCGCCTAAAGACGTCCACGGCAAAGAGGTCTTCGCCACGTCATGACGGCGAAGTTTCTCAATACTTACGTACCAGCCAACCATATACGCCATGGCATTGTTCAAATTTCTTCTTATCCATTCGAAATTCTCTTTGATCTTATAGGACCATCTGTGCGTATCTTATGTCATACTCGCACTTCGCCTCTCATGATAGTTTAGCCATTGGATGAGACTCTGCTCAACGATGAAAAGCTCGCCATTGCAACACTACCAAGTACTCCCATAATTCTGCATGTCGCGGGATGGGACAGCCTATACTACGATTTCGGCGTTCCACGACCAGGCCTTCTTGTTTTGCGAGGATGGTGTTCCTTCACACTGACTCTATCCGTTTTTCAAAAGTCGACTGTCTACTGGCGGAAGTTCAAGCAGATTCAGAAGACCAAAAGGTGATGCTTTCTGCCATTGCAGCCGTTGGCCGGCACAACATGCTTCTCAGCTGGAGGGGTTGTTTCTTCTCAATGACGGCGTAAGCTCACGAAACCTCTTCGTTCTTCTCCTTATAATCCTTACCATCGTCGTCTAGAACATTTCCCGCTTTGTTCGCATAGCTCCTTCCACCAGCTATCCAGATCGAAGATGATGGCGCCCTTCATGTTCAACCTCCCGACGATTCTTGTGAACTTGCGCGAGTTTGTGAAGACCTATTGAAGGTCAATCAACTTGCGTACTCGAATCTTTTCTACCTTCACTAACAATTCAACAGGGCATCGGGACCGTCGTTTCTCCAACCGAAGGTCGATCGGCTACTGATATCGAGGACATCAAGAACATCACTTCAAATGTGCCCTACCATTTCCGGTTGACATTGAATGAACAGGGTCCTCCGCCTTTCTTGCCGAACTTTTCAATGTCTTTCCGGCAGGGCGTTGTCTCCAGTTACTACGACGACGAAGTTGATGAGAAAACAGCCATCGTGCATCTCCGCGACCTCCGAAGAAACGATGCTAAGCTCTTTTCAACGTATGTACCCTCTTCGCTTCTAGTTCTCCAGGTACCGATAGACTTGACACAGAATTACGCCTTAAACATGTCTTCGACGTTGCCGTTAGATGCTCTCCGTGTTGCTGTTCGGTCCCACGTCAGGTTTGAGCAAGTTCACCTATTGGGGTGAGTTACTGATTAGTCTGATCCTACTACCACTGGCAAACACGTACTAACGTAACGTCTAAAGACAGCGACCGTTGGGTAGGCCGCTTGCATTGCTCAAGCGTGGAGTTCCTCCTATTAACATCATGGGGAATGGGACATTGGACGCTCAGCCGCATAGTACGCTTGCAAGAACACGGAAACACTTGATCATCGGGCTCAGGCTGGTCGCTGTCACGAGTCAACGTGTGGCTTACGTAAGAATCGCGTCCTCCCTTTGACGATCTCTTCTTTGTCTAGTTTTCCCTTATATACAGCTATGATTTCAAAGTACGTCCTTTCTATCTCTCCCCACTGTTCCACCACCCATTTCATATCCACAGAACGATTGCCTTTCCGCCATGTCATCGGCGGTAGCTTGCCTCACTTTCATCCTTCGTTCACCATCATCTTCATCATCAACGCTCTCTTCTGTGCGTTCATCTATGTGACGGGTCGGTATATCTATGTCAGATTATACCCTGAATCCCGCTGGACTGCCAACGAGGACGAAGGCGTAACGACAAGTCACAAAGCTGATCGTGGACACCATACGCTCCAAAATCAAAGACAACACCCCAGCGATACCCAGAATGTTGACAAGGTCTTTATTGAGATCTCGGACGACTCGGACTCGGACTTGGATGTTCCTTTGGTTAGTCCTTTCACATTCTGCCTTACAAGGGTATTCAACATGTGACAACGCAGGGGAGCGGAGGGACATTGCATAAAACCCAAAACGCATCTGCTCAACATGAGATTTCCGTTGGGCTTAAGACTCCCAGATCCTCACACGGATTGTAGTGCTCAGGCTCTAAGACCTTGGCATCCTGGATTTCAACGAGTAATTGCACCTTTGGTTCTCGGTTTACGACCTTGTATGGGATCACCGGCTCGTAGCTCCCAACCTTTGATGAAGCTTCGGGAAGGCAGCTTTGGGGTTGGAAACCCCCGCCTTTTGATCACGGCTCCCAGCCTTTATTTGCCCCTCTAAACCGCGGTCTTCTCCCTACGACACCGGCTCGCCGCCCAGGTATAGTCACCCCCCTTTCACCACCCTTCACGACTGACGTTGAATGTGCTTCCAAGCTTATCGCCGTCGCCCAACTGAAAGTTTGGACGACGAGCTTGATCATCACGATGGAGATGACGATCACGACTACATCGATGACAGCGAGACCGACAGCTAGGATTATATCTGGGAACCGCGTTCTTCAGTTAGAGCTTTCACATTGTCTTTTCGATCTCGCTTGTTCTGACAACGGCTACAGAAGAAACGGAACTACTCAAAAAGACCCTACTCACTTGCCTTCCCGGTCCCTCTGCCCCTGAGCCAAAGTCACCTATCGTTTGTTGTAACGCACCGTCAACATTGGAGAACCCCAATCCCCCGGTTACATCTGGTCAGATGCCTTCCTTCTAGGTCTGGTGCTCTTGCTGATATATTCTCATTCAGACTCTCATGTCCACCCAACTCCGAGTTCTCAACGCCAGTCACCTGTCCCAGCAACTCTCGACAAAGCACAAGGATATAAAGCATACTCGGTTCTTACTATCACTACGCACTATTCCAAGATCCGGAACAAAGACGTCCATATCCGATATTTCACTTCCCCCAGTGCCTCTCACATATGCTCACCACCTTCGAAAACCCCGTGTTGGACCTTTGAGCCTGAGGATTTGTATCTCCATTGGCAAGGACCATTTAATGTCAAAGTGTGGGTCTGGGAACGCAATGGCAGACGCGAGACAGCCTGAGGTGGTGCCTGGCGTCCGATCCAAGCGGTTTTCGCACCCTCGCCTCCCAGAACATCAGTTCCAAATGCTGAAGAGCGCTGGACCGACGTGGATTATGAAGTCGACAGGTATCGGCGTGGTGTGAGTTTCTCTTGGTTACTATCACGTTTTGCGAAATATTGACGAAGTTTAGAGCGCAGTGAGTGTGTAAATCGGTCGGCTTGAACCTTTCGAACATTCTTTTCGTTTTCGTTCTTTTCTCGGTGACCTCTCGGATGTGTTTGATTCTATGCTACACCATTGGCTGCCTTCGAATCATCTTGTATATTACGGTATAACATACATGCAGTCCTTCTCCTGCTTCAGCGTACCAAGTATTATTCACGTAGGTATCATTGTGCAAGTCAAGTGCTAACGTTAGCCCCGACTCCATTCAACTTGAAGCTTGAAGACTCGCCACTACTCAGAGCCTGAGACTGTTGACTGTAGCGACATCGCAAGTCGAGACTCGAGCCTTGGGAGTGACACACTATATCGTCGCCATCCACGCCATCCACCTTTTCATTCACTCATCCCCAAACCTAACCCTCATCAAACGCCGCAAAACCAAACGCACACCCCTACGCCATAAAAACGACATCCATAGGCATCTTTTCCTGCTCCTCCTCTTCACCGTACCACCAAATCCATGGTACCACAATCACACAATACCACTATGTCCCATCTACGCCATCTCCAAGTGTTCAGCTGTCCCCGACGAAGTTCAAGCTTCCTAGCATAGGTATAGTAGGAGCTTGGAACCTAGGTCTTCGCCAGTGCCGCCTTCGAGGTCCTTCACACACGTTTGGGAATGGGGTAAAGATGAAGAGGACGATACGCCATGCATACGTCGAAGCGCTGATACTTAACCTTCCTTCGTCTACCATACCCACCCTCGAGTTACCAAAAGATCTAAAGAAGACCCGAAAATATGATCACCAATGCACCTATCCGCCTACTTCTCCTCCACAGTCTGCGGAGCTGGGGCTGGGGAGTTTCCGGACCCCAATTGACGCGTGATGTCACTGCGTTCGTCAAGGAGAAACAGATAACGGAGAAGACATTTTTTTGAACGAGGGTGATTTTAACAGATACGTGTTCTTCTTTTCCTTGGTTTTTCGCTTTCCCTTTTGTTGTTTTTATTTCTGCCTAGTGCTAATCATGGTTTGAATCGAAGGTTTGAACTACTCAAATTCAATCATCCCATCCTCCTCTCCGCCTCCTGCTCCCTCTGTCAAAATCTCCTTCGACGCCAGATATGGGGGCTCGAGTCGGACCATTACCTTCCCTTTTCATTGTCTACAAGACAACGATTTCTGTTAGCGTTGACGTGGGGGCAGGAGGAGCGGGAACATCAGCTTCGATTCTACCCGAAATAGCAATGGAGGTATAATGGCATTTTGAATGGTGTTCAAGCTCAGAGGACGACAACGACGCCAACGATCAGGAGAGGAGGAAGGAGGTCGAGTTGAACGAATCAGAGTCAACGAAACGAAATCCGACCAAAGACCAACGACATTCCGTGTCCTAATCGCATATATGCAAAAACTCTTTCGTCGCGTGGGGGCTGTCCATTGTTTATTCTCGTTCTCCGCTCCTAGCCCTGGTACCGTCCTAGTGCCCATGCGAGGAATGAGTGGGGCGCTCGGACGAAAGGAGAAGAGACGATCAAATTGCCCCACCAGCTTGTCTCCTGCCTTACCCGCCCCTACTTACGCCTCCACATGCCGGCTCTGGCTCGCACTCTCCATTGGTACTACCTACTGTACGGGGTCTCCATCCATTTCTATGTGTCACAGTTTCCTGCAACAGGCACGGGTTCGCCATCCGTTTCTACGCATTCTGGGTCGCCATTCGCTCCCACACTCCTCAAGCTTACTACAATCCCAAATAGATTTCAGAGTTTCAGGCACGCGTCCTCCGCTCGCTCAAGCTCCAATTGATGCAGGATAACTCTACGAGCTTGGATACTGCCATGCGCCTCTACCTTTATCTTCCCTCCCAACAGGATCTTCAGGTTCCGTCCCCCCATTCCAATCCCGCTGGGCGTAGGCGGTCCAGGCCAACAACACGCGCGTCCCCTTCCTCTCCCGCCACATCACGGGCAACTTCCCGTGGACCACCCTCTTTCCAGTGCGGGTGTGGGTGGGGAAAGGAAGAGGGTGGGCGTAGCGACAACCGTGGCCGATTCTGGGTTTGTTATACATCATCCTAGACCACGGCCTGGTGTTGGAGTCGAGGGGTTGATTGGGTTATCTGATGTTCCGAGGGATACGTTCGGTGATGATGTTCCGATAAATACGTCTGGTGATGACGTTCCTCCGGTGGTCCTGACACGCAAACTGAGCCAGAAACAGAAACAGAAGGAGGCTACGAACCGCTCCATCCCAATTATCCGAAAGGGACGAACCGAGCATGGCGGACCTGCTCTCTTCTCCCACCACTCTCCTGCTGCACACCCGATAACGGGAGCGGAGAGTTGGAGTTGGGTGAGACTGTTAAGCGCGCTGGGGCTACAGCCGTTGGTGGTGGAGGGAGTACGAGTGGGAGTGTTAGGACCGGTAGGGGGAGGAAGGTTTGTGGTGTTGGTGAGGGAGGTAAATCCATCGAGAGAAAAGACGAAGGGACAGGGAAGGTAAATGATGAAGAAAGAGTAGAAGGGCAGGGGAATGCTCAAGAAAGCATGAAAGACGACGAAGAGATACCAAATGAGAGGGTAAAGGAACACATAGTTGATGGGGGAAAGCCAGAATTTTGGAGCGGATTCGATCTTGGCCCATCTCTTCAGCTCTGGATCTGAGCCGGCACACAACAGAACAAGATGTCGCAAACTCGACAGAACACGACCTCCTTGCAACGCTCACAACCCGCCAAGAAGCCCTAGACCAACGTGAGCTTGGATTGGCGGCCAGACAGGAGAGGATTGAATGGATGGAGGAGAGGGTTGGGGAGGTGCAGAGGGGTGTTGGGTATCGTCAGGATGCGGTTGGGCGACGTGAGGAGGCGGGAAATGCGTGATGCTCAATTTGGTGCTCTCAATTGTCGAATTTATGGCCCGTTACTCTTCTTCGGTCTGTCGTCTTTTGTGTATCAGGCGACAAGATGCCTTCCTTCCTCTTTTCCTCCTTCAACCAAAGTTCCTCTTACTCCTCCGCCTCCAACTCAAGTTCTTACACCGCCCCCACCCCTCAAAGAAGACCCCGACGCGACTAGGGAGCCCGACGCGATCTGTATCTATCAACAGGTGGACGGGGGAGTTACCTCGTGCTCGTGGGTATTGGCGTGTGTGCTGTTGTGTTGAAGGTGCTTGTGAGGAGGTTGACTGGGGTTGGGATGTGGAGTTGGATGAAGAGGAGGAGCAGGAGGTAGTTGACCTTGCTTGACCTTGGTGGGAGCTGCTTTGCTCAGGTTCATGACTTTTATGACCTTGACGACTTTTTGACGATCTCTTTTTGACTGACGCTGACGAGGAATTGAATAAATGAACCAAGCGTCTGCGAGCGTTGTGGGTTTACTTCGTGTAAATATCTCTGATATAGTTACTTATACCTTATGTATGGATTCACTTGAATCTCTGAGCAGGACCTGGAAAGTCTCAAGGGTCGGCGGTTGCAAGTTGCAATGTCTGCTTCGTTTTTCGTGATCAGTTCCTCGTTTCTTGTGTTACATGTTAACAGATCTATGGTACCGGTACATTGACCCCTTCTGAGCTTAAGTCCTTACATATTTCATTCCGAAAGCATACATTCTCTCCGAAGCTCGCCAATCAGATCAATTCAATAACAGCTAGCAAAACGGTGGATATCAAATACTCCGACAGAGGGAGGAGACCACTCACCCTGTTCCACAACTGCCGAAGAAAATCAATGACCACACTAGTAGCCCAAAGGCAAATTGGAGACTCACAGCCTTTTTCACCCTTGGAATTGATGACCATGTATCCTGGAAATAACTCTGTCACGACAAATCGTCAACAAACTGGTGATGAAGTAGAAAGGGAAAGAAATACGGCTGTCACCGTAGGGGAAGTAATTTTTGGAGACGATAACTCCATCCGTGTAAACGATCTCATCTTTGGTTGTTGATAGCCAGGCGGAATCATGGTAGTCTGCGGTAGGATACTAGACAATGATAATTGGATTATCTCAGGAACTGTTACTCACTCCAAGTATTAGTCAACCGAGCGCGTTTCGTGAATTTTGAATCTGGTCCATCTGAAAAAGCACGGTTTGTTGCCGCAGTGTCTAGTGGATATTCACTGAGAACTTTACCTGATGTAGGCTTAGCCTTTTGATCAGCTGCTGTATTGGCGGTTGCATTGACAAGGGCTACGGGATCACCTTCATCACTGCCCGGATAAGCGTCATCTTGGAAGGATATAACATCAGTGTCGCTCATGGCAGCGTCACTATTCGTGTCTTGGAAGAGTTCCATCTCCTTGTAGAGTGCATGACCCGGCGTGACGAGGCCTTCAACGCTTGCGATGCACGCTTTCAAAGACCCAGCGGTATGAGGGGGAGCGATGAAGACGGCGTTGATGCGCCCTAACGACATGTCACTTTCGTCAAAAGACATCTTTGCCTCTTTATCTCCTCTTCCCCCTGATAAGTAGACGCGATAGTATACTGTAAAGCTGATGAGTGCACTATATGAGTAAGAGACGTTGGCAAAACTTGCCGTAATGGATATCGGTATCATCAGAGCGTTCCGGCAGTTTCTCTGATTGCGAGACCTCCTTGGTCCTCTTCTCCGACTTGACAACCAACGCGATCGGATCTAGTTCGGACAGGCCTGGCCCAGAAGGAGCGTTCAAAGAGAGGCGGGCAGAGTCTTCTTTGGGTGCTGGGCTTGAGAGCGGTGTGAAGAGAAGTGCGTTCTCGGGCTCCGAAAGGTGCTCAAGTCCGCACAGGGACAGCTTGATAGACGCCACTGTATGAGGAGGGGCAAAAGACTTTGTTGGAATGCGGCCAATGAAACGGTCGTTATCGTAGAGGGGGCGATTTGATTCGAATGCACCGAGTTTTGTGTATAGACGATAATATACTGCGTGAGTAGATTAGGCCAGCAATAGAGTTTTCTGGATAGCGGCGCACCATAGCTAGTAGGACCTGTCCTTTTCGTTGACCTTCCTCCTTTCACTGCTGATTCTGTACCCCCTTTGCCGTCTAAGGAGGGAGTGGATCTGGACGTATGATCACGACCAGGCAGAGTAGACATCGTCGTTTCCAACCAAGACCTGGCCGCCATATTAGCAAGATGCGATTGAAGGAAGCAGTTATCGGACATGCCTTCATCAATCATCATCCACGAGGCATTGGCGCTCATGCTGTCACCTCGCTGCCAGAGCAAGTCGGATGTTCTGAATTTGAACGAGTAGCTGCGCCTTTACTCCATCCAGCACATGAACTGGCCTTTCAAGCTCCTAACTTCCAGGGTGGAAAAGTATCGAAGCGCAAGTTCATGAGAATACACGATTAGAGTATATGGGAGAGAGGCGGCAATAGAGGTTGACGATACAGTTTTGACGGTGCGCTGAGAGGAAGAGAGTTATTAAGGTCCAAGGAGGGGTCACTGGAAGTGGAGGGTTGACAGCACAAGCGCGTTTGAGTGCGGGTATGACGCGTACCCACATCAGGAAAATGTTTTTTTGCTGTAGTTTGGTCGTATTTATGTAGTCTCTGTGGGTCTTATAGGCTCATATAGGTACGCGCAAACCTCTGTAGGCTATGATAGGTAGTAAATCCTACTGTACATTCTAAGTACCTGCTAGTAGGAATAAATTAAAAGGAGCACTGATGTAAGTGGGTGTTCTAACAATTATGACTGACCAAGCTCGTCTTGTGTAAGCATCGCACGACGTCATTCCCTACTTGAAACGAGGACATCATATTCATAGAGCATTGACGGCAAGTATAGCCCATTCTGAATCAGTATATTACAGTACTACTTGAAGCCCTGGTGTTCATAAAAAGTACCTAAGTTAATATACTTGTTCAAAGTAAAGGACTTCCAGTTATCGAGTATTTCAACGTTGGTCCAAGGAGCAGGGTGCCAGTTGGTTCCAAATTTCGGAGTCAGATGACAGGTGGAGACAATGTCGGTGAGCGGGACGATTTCAGCAAAAGGTTGCCCATGCTGGTAGGAACGGGTGACAGAGTGAAGGAGGGAATCGGGGTCAGGCGCACGGAGTGGATTGAACCATTCAACGTACGCGTGATACTTGGGAAGTTCACGCCCCCGAAGGTGGTCAGGCAGTGCGAAGATCACGCGTACCTGGGCCACTCGAAGTCCTGAATGATAATATCAAATCAATGAGTATGAGCAGGGAGCTGGTGTGACACACCTTTGAGGCAGGTACCTCTTGTAACCTGATTCCCTAGTTCACTCCCACTTCTAATCAGAACCGTGTCGAAGTTGGCTGGGGAGTCCTTTTTACGGCCTGGAATCAACGGTGTTGCACGGGCACGCTGAGTTGCCTTGAAGCGTCCAACAGCCGCGAGATTGGGCAAGTGAATGGATAGGCGCTTATATACGTTAAATTTGTCGGTAGCGTTTGGAAGTAGCGGCTGGGCAGGTGCGGGGTAGGCACGACGGATGACCTTTGTGAGTGCAGAAATGAAGTTGACGGCGAAGAAGCGAGTGGTGAGTGTATCAATGTTTGTGAGAGGAAACCCGGGTTGAACGGGTAGGTGATGAGTGAAGGGCAGACCAGCTGTGGTAGCGGCTGGGGAGGTGGCTGCCAAAGGTTCGTTGATCACGTCGCTGTCAGTGTTAGCATCACTGTCACTGTCAACGTCGGACTCAGCATCACGCCTCAGTGACCAATCGAGGTATGCCCTAAACCTCGCAACTGCTTCCTGGCGCCCAAGCCACTTCACCATCTGTTCCTCATAATCCCGCCCATTACTTGCTCTGTATGCTTCCTTTGCAAAATCGATATGAAGACGCTCTGGCGACTCCGTGTTGTAACCGTCAGCGGCACCACGAGACTTGATCGCTTCACAGTAATGCAACATTTGATGGAGTTTCGGAATATTGAAGTGCTCGCGGACGCCCTCGCGAATGAAGATGTCCTTATTCTCATGGAAGATCTTCAGTGCGTCTTGAAGTGCATCGAGTGTTGTTGAGGTATGTACGTGCAGTTGTGAATAGTAGATGAAATCGATAGCTGCGCGCGCAGTCCGCAAAACGGCAGGCTGTACTGCACCGACAAGCAAACCGACGAAGACACGTTGCATGTCCTTGTGCTCTCGCCCTGTCCACTGGGATACATGGGAGATCCCGTTTTTGAAGTGTCGAAGGCCTGGGTAACCAGGCATACTGCGAAAACGTGCGTCTATCTCGTGTTTGCCTGCTAGCTCAACACACCAGCTGACTAGATGGTCCTTAATAGTGTTTGAAAGTCCGGTTAGGTTAGGTTATTGGGTGCCCAGGGGCTCTAACCGAGACCGAGACCGGTTAGGGTTCGTTCCCAGACCCAAAATAACCTAACTGGACCGAAGATAACCGATGAAAACCGGTTAGTTGCAGTTACTAACCGGTTAGGACCGAAAAAATAGAAAATCGATTAAAACGGCGTATATTTCTCATATTCCTTGCAGTAAACATTATTGCCATGCGTCGTAGCTTTAAAACAAGCCCAAGAACGCTAAATTCGGTGAAGAATTGACAATTTTATAATAATGTTCTTGAAAGCCTATTATTTTAGCCAATAATTTAGAGATTTGACCATAACTCTGTCAGATTTTTAGCGTTTCTCATGCTTTTAGATGCGTTTTGAAGGGGTAAAATAGGGTCGGTTGTAACCGGTCATAACCGGTTTTTTAACGGTTAGTTAACCGCAAAATAACCGGTTATTTCATTTCCAGAATTGACTAACCACTAACCGCGGTCCGGTTTTTTTGCGGTTAGGTCCGGTCTGGTCTCGGTTATTTTCCAGTTAATTAACCTAACTTCCAAGCACTAGTCCTTAAAGACTCCCTTTTGAAGCTGGTGAAGGATGTCAGGTGTGAAACATGTGAAGATATTGACATGAGGAAGGTTGGCCCAAAATGGCTTCCATACAGGGCGAAATCCCTCATTATCGTAAGCAGCCACACGTTGCCCACTCTTCTTGTGACTCAAAATAGTCTTGCTACGTTCTTGTTCTTGTAGCAAGGAGTCCACCATCTCCCCTTGGTCTTTTGGTTCCACTCGGCACTTGGGGCAGTAACTCTCTTTGCAGCATGCGACGAGACACTGCTCCGGAAAATCTGCAACATATGAAGCAAGGATTGGGAAGACCCGACGAACAATGCCGTCTGCACAGGTAATGTTGACACCCTCTTCCCCAGCTTTGACGAGCGGTGCTAACAGTTTCTCCATGCAGAAATGGAAAAGTCGATAACCCTCTTGAGAACGCGTCGCTTCAGTGTAATTGTCCAACTTCGCGACTGGTAAATACCCGATAAGGACGGTGGCATGGGCTGAGGGTTTGCGACGCTTCTCTTTCTCAATGTTTCCAATTGTAAGGTAAACAGGCCATGCTTTCTTGTCACCCCGAAACTGGGTTAATTGAGTCTTGTCTGAAGAGAGAATCAGAGCGGCGATTGTTGCCCCCACATCAAGCTTCCACTGTTGCCGGAATTAGCCCATGGTTGTCTGGCGATATAAGGGTAACGTACTTGTGTGTCCCACCACCAATCACCAGTCCACATCTCGTCATAGACACGTATATTCCCCTCCTTATCACGGTACACTCGCTCAGGTGCATACTTCAGCACTGTTTTAAAAGCAGGGTTACTCATCAACTCCTTTACACAATCCACAGGATCCCGCCTCCACAGCTCAAGCTTTTCTGGTGGCATTGGCTTTCCATCTTCATCGGTTCGATCTCCTGGCGCTGTTACAATGTCGCATGTCCATGTGGCCCCTTGTGTCGGCAGGGCATCAACTTTCTTGAGAAAATTACGGTTATTGTTGTAAGAGGGCTTCATTCGATTGGTTGTCTATTTTTGACACTCCATTAGTAAACACAGGGACAGCTGTCAGTGAAAGCAATCACGTACAATAGGAAGCTTTCCCCACCGTGAGCTGCCGCCCTCCTCCTGCTCACGCCGAATGCGTTCAAAAAGTGGGACACCGTAACCCCAGCCAGCCCCGGCTTTTCTTTCTTCAGGAAAATCCTCAACGTGGGACTCAGGATAGGTATCCTGATCTGGAATCTCTTCATTGGTAGTACGGGTCGTGGATGGAGTGTGTGGAGGAGGAGGAGGAGGAGGAGGAGGGGATGCTGGAGGTTCAGGTATGTCAAGACTGGCCTCAAGACCTTGATCAGACTGATCATCGGGTTCAGATGTTTCAGATTCGCCTTCAATTGGTATAGGTGGTCCAACCATTTCAGGGGCAGGCTCCGAAGAAAATCCAGATGGGCCTGTGGCAGGTGCTTGAGGTGCGTTCCAGATATTGGCAACATAGGTTCCAAACTCCTGATGCGAGGCTTTGTTGCAGGTAATAGTTCGTTTGATATGTTTGTTCAGTGCTGAAGTGTTCGGCAAGGTCTTTCCACAGAAGCCACACCGAGCAGTCCCTTCAGCTTTGGATGCCATGGCTGAGTTTGTCAGATGAAAGGTAATGTCGTAAAAATTTCAACGAAAATTCAATAACCAATTTTTTCACCAGCCGTTTCAACCCGATCAACATCATGTCTCATATGACCATCCGCTTTCATACGCACTCCCCATTTGTCACGTTACTGACGCGTCTGCTCCTAAAGTTTTGTTGATCTACGAAAAAAGAGACACCGCCACATTGGCCGACTATTTAACCGCCATGTCCATCATTTGAACTTCTGTGTACCATTTTTTATCCCCCTCTCACACTCTTTGCAGCCTTTCGCTCATTTTTTTTGTTCAGCCATGGCTCGTTCTACCCGCACATCTACCCTCAAGGCTACTGCTGCTGTTCCAATTGAAGTGGAACCAACGTCGTCAGGCCGCCAGCGTACGCTGTCTGCAAAGCAACAACAAATAGGTCAGTTTCTTCATTCATATATTACACCATTACATGACTGACTTCACATTTAGTCACGGAAAAAGTCCAGAAGCAAGTTGTAGCCCAGGACAAGGCCTATACCCAGGCGCTTCGAGCTCATCAAGCCCAAGAAGAAATCATGGGCTTTCAAAAGTTACCGGTTCATGCGCGTGATTCATTGTCAGGCGATGTTGATGAAGAGATGGGCCCTGAATCCGAAGATGAAGATCATCCTGCCTCAGCGGGAAATGGAGTATATTTCTTTCTTTCATTTCTTTCAAGACGTTGATCTTCGACATCTTATTTATCTAGTTCACCGCTGTTACGCTGGCACCAATCATCAAAACATCTGTCCGAAACGGACGTACCCTTGTTCATCGGGTGGACCAGGAAAAGGAAAATTTGAATGCTACACCAGTACGTTGTTAAACCTGTTTAACCTAGCCTTTTTTCATTGTCCATGCAGCTCCAAGTCCACAGCAACGAGGCCAACAAACAGCCACCCAAATTAATCAGACGTGTCACTGGTCAGGCTCGGCCTCCTGTGATGATTGGGCCTAATGGATCAGCACCACCACCTCTTACACCTCAACAGCAACCTTTTCAAGCTGCCGAGTCAGCTCCACATCGCGGCCCTGGTCCCTACAGCCCCCGCTCCCAATCCTTTTATATGGCTGGTGACGGAACCTACTATCAGCGTGAGTTTGTAGTGGAGGATGCTGAGCATAAGTCATCATGCTTATACAAAAACTTACATCCGACGAAATTGTTACTTTTAGATAGCGATGATGAATTTGGGACCCACACAGCCGGTGTAGAGTACCCAGAACCGACATGCCACATATACCCAAATGCACATCCTGCATTGAAGAACTTTCCAAAGTCAAGCCTTTCCCCACCGGCGATAACTCATAGGCCAAAGCCCAACAGCACCCAGTCAAAGGTCACTACGTTGTTGACCTCCTTTCTTGTACCATCACTAACAAAGCATAGGTCTCTACCCCAAACCCACGCATCCGGAAGGAACCTCCGACTACCCCAGCCGCTGAGACAACGGTCATAATCAAACGACCGAAGTCAGAGTTTTCAGGAACATGAGGCCGCGTTCGCGCCTCAGACTTCGATGACGTGACCAAGTCCGTCGTTGAAGAAGCCATTTCTATCTATCGCGCTCAGATTGGAGCTGTCGAACCCTACCCTGATCGTGTTGAAGATCGCGAGGCGGCAGTGGCGGCTTGGGTCGAGGCTTGCAATGGTCGGGGAATCCGCATAGAGTTTGATCATGACATAATGAAATTGGTGGGTACCATTCTCCTCATATCTACTGCCATTGATATTGGACCTAGATCACGGCGCGTGCCTCCCAAGCCCGAGGGCAGCTGAAAACGCTTGCACGCCCTCTCGTCGAGGCTGCCTATGGGATCAGTCCCACGAATGCCAAGCGCGACAACCGCAATCTTGTCGAGGATTTGCAAGACCGCATCGGCTTTGCGTACAAGGCACGTTCTACATTTTTTGATTCCTTCATATGACTACAACATCTTTTTTATAGAATCTGGCTGATCGCACTGGATTATACCGTCATCCCATCATTCAAACGATTGTCAACAAGATGTATTTCAAGCACAAAACAGACGACGGCATCGTGAACCCAGAGTTCTCGGAGAACGAGGAGCTCTCTTTGGTTACTCTAGCACTGGTCCTCACTGTGGTATGCAGTTCATTACACTTTTTTTCTTCCTTCATCTCACTCAGCATCTAGATTGACAATTGCCTCGACGAGTGGCAAACAGGAGAACATGTCGATGTCCAGTTTTCAGCTGCGACCTACAAGAACAAGTTCATTGCTCACCTCAAACGACTTGAGGACTTCGCTGAGAAGACGAAGGATGCGAACATCATTTCGCGTTTGCGTAAGCATCTGCTCAAAATGGCGAAGTACGTTCTTTTTACATTTCAGTTTTGGTACAAATTCTAACAACGTTAGAAAACATGCCAAGGCTGATGATGCACCTCAAGTTATTCAAGCTGCTAGGGTCACCGAAGATGAGGTAGAGGCAGCAAAGAAGGAATGGGAAGGTCTGGTGTTGTCGGAAGAGGAGGATTGATGTGCAGCCTGCTACTAGCCTAGTGTATCCCAATACCCAATAAAACATTTCTCCTATTTCGTCTCTTCTAATTGGTGCTACGGTGACCTACCTAGCTTAAGTAGTCTACTGCCTATCAACCTAGGACCACCTACGACGACATACATAACAGATGTGGTGCCTACTGGTACCTATATATCGGGGGTCAACCTAATTACCTAACGAAGCTATTTAGGTCTCGTAGACCTATATAGCTTTCAAACTTTTTGCAGATGCATGCCCATGAAATTCCATGGCTGTTCAACGGGCCTTGCGAACCTTACGATGGTTGTTATCTAGTCAGGCACACGGGCGCCTCTCCAGTCAGGGAGAGGTCGTTGGCAGGTACAGTAGAAGTTCTCATAGTGCATGATCTATGCATGCATAATTCTCATTACAGCAAAATGCAAAAACGTAGACACCTCTCCAAAATTTCCAGATTGCCCCTTGCCTTGTACAAACAACCGCATTTGGTGCAACCCCGCCGCGCGCGTCAGTGACTGGTGACTTCATGGCACTATATATAAGTACTCCTATAATCAAATGGTGCATTCAATATCATTTCTCTTCGTCCATCTTCAAAGATGCCGGGGAACTACCGCTTTATATCTGCTGAACAAAAACGGCTGATTTTGACAATGTCGCTTTGTGGAGTGATGGTCAAAGAGATTGTGAGCGCAACCGGAATTTGCAAGAGGACTGTGTGTAGGATTCGAAGTACATGGAGAGATACTGGAGACGTGGTCAGGAGATCTTTGGTGCATGGAAGGCCACGGAGCTTGTCATCATTAGAAGTGTCGGTGTGTTCAAGGGGGTAGCGGGACGTGGATCCCGCACCAAGGGTAGGAGGGGGGGGTGTCCGGCCAAAGGCCGAAAAAAAAAAGTGACACCCCATCAATTTAGATTTTGAAGGGCAGCAACATTCCAGCTTCGGACACGGACGGTCCAAACCAAGAGTACTATCACCTACGTTGACACACCCTACACTCCCCATGCCGCCCCAGGCCAAGTGCCTCTTCCTTCTCTGAATGAGTTACACCACTCGGACGCTTCACTTTCTTTCTCGGCCTACACATTAAAGAGTCACTTTTGAAGATTTATCACATGCACAGTAATGAAGAAATGCCCTCTCATTCTGTACTGTCAGTAGCCGTCAGTGTAGCTACTTACCCAGGATGATCCGTCTTTAAACAAGTTTTTTCAATATCATGCTAGCACAGGCCTGTTATATGCATCTTCAGTGGACTCGACTTAGCTTAAACTTAGTTTACGGCCAACCGCCTGTGCGTAGTTGACTTGTTACATGGAAATATTTTGAATTCAAAAAAAAAGAAAAACATGAGTGTGGAAAAAACATACTTCATTAGGAAGGTAATGGTGGGGGGGTGTCAGGCAGAACCCTGAAAAAAAAATAACGAGTGTTGGTCTCTTTTCCACATTCCGCCACCCCCTTGGGTGTGTTACAAATTTTATCACTTGCACTAGAAGTCTTACGTCTAATCAGTGAGTGAGTACTAGTACACCGCCATTTGGGCCCCAGGGTGATGGCAGAATGCCGAAATTCCTGATCGGCATCAAACCTCTCCCCTGTCGGCTATCCAATTGACAGCTGTTGGGCAGCCTGCCGGATCTCACCTGGTAGCTAGGAGTTTACTTTGTGGACACCAGCTCTCGTCTAAAGCTGTTCAACAGCGTCGCCCACAAATTATGATACCTCCACATTTCTCACTAAAGTACCACGTTTTATGAAGTGCATAGTATCTAGCACCTCTTAAACCATTAAATTTATATTTTCTCATATCACCTTCGGAACAACTTTAGCGAAACACAGTGACACTTGATGAAGAGTGTGGGAAATATGTTCATACTCAGCGTACTCCGCAGCTTCAAAAAGGGTGCAAACTCTTGTCATCAACCCCATTGCCTCCCTTGTCAAGCTACAACCTCACCACAATCACACGTCTTTGCTGCTGCCACCATCGTTATCGACTACGTCATGCCTCTCCACCGTCTCCAGCTCCACACCAACACCCAACACATATGACTGGAAAAGTTTGGAGGGGGTCGAGCGTTGCCAGCAACAACACCACACCAACCAGCCACGGACGCGAACTTGCTGCCACGTCGACACCCTGTTGACCAACCCCGGCATCATGGTCGATGTCCCCTCGCCTATCACGTCAGGCTCCCTTGCTTGGTAAGTAAGTGCTCACTGGCACCGCCTATCGGGGGCTGCCTGCCCTAGTGTTCGAAAGTCCGGTTAGGTCCAGTTATTGGGTGCCCAGGGGCTCTAACCGAGACCAAGACCGGTTAGCCTTTGTCCCGAAACCTAAAATAACCTAACCGGACCGCAACTAACCGGTTACGGTCAGTTATTTGCAGTTACTAACCGGTTAGGACCGAAAAATAAAGAATTGGTTATAACAAGGCAAATATGCTCATATGTATCTTGATAGATATTATTTCTGCATATTCTAGCTTTAAAACGAGCCCAAGAACGCTAAAATCGGTGAAGAATTGACATATTTATGCAATTATCCTTGAAAGTCTACACATTTGAGTGATATTTTAGAGATTTGACCGTAACTTAGTCAAATTTTAAGCGTTTTCGATGTTCTCAAGTGCGTTTTGAAGGTGTATAATAGGGTTGGTTATAACCGGTTATTTAACGGTTAGTTAACCGCAAAATAACCGGTTATTCTATTTTCGAAATCAACTAACCCTAACTGCGGTTAGGTTAGTGTTGCAGTTAGGTCTGGTTATTTTCCGGTTAACTAACCTAACTTTCAAACACTAGCCTGCCCTCACTGTTTCATTTGTCCAAACCCTGTTGCAGTAAGTCGCCAACGTCAACCTATGATGTCTACAGTCTACCTGCTAATGTGTACATTCCCTCTCTAGACTACTTCACCCCTCATGTCGCTAACTACTCGCTGTCATGTCACCTCCACCACCAGTCAACAAAGGGGGCACATGGGAGAGAGTACCATGATAGCAGGGAAGGGAGCCATTGGGGGGTAAGCAATAGCATATAACTAGCCTCTCCAGTAGCAGTAGTAGTATTGACCAATTGTATATGAATTATCCCCATCATTGTTATGAGTAAAAAATATCATAAATCTTTCTAAACTATGTGCTTGGATTGAGGTGGGGATTTGAATGGGATTTTCGGGTGGTTGAATACATTGTGGCCATACTATAATACATATCCCCTCTACATAACCACCCACAAGGATGATAGCCAGGATGGTCAGCTGGGAATGGGCTGGACCCGACACGTCTATTCCAGCTAGCCTGGAACCAGACCCCTATTAGTTCGATTTTGAGCTGGTGGCCAGCATCCGCCACACTGGTGACAATGTGGGAAAATATAGTGGACATGCTGCGTGCTCTAGGTTGCTTCCACATCTGGCCCAAATAGTGGTGTATCTTGAAAGCTTGGTTGAGAAACAGCCTGACATATATGCAAGAGAGTTGCAGCATGCACTCTTTATAGCATATGATGTCGAGGTGGACACAAGTACTATCACACGTGCATTACATCGACGTGGTTTTACGAGGATGAATATAACATGCCCAGTGAGGGAACACAACGAGGAGGTCTGGCTCGAGTATCAAGCAGACATTGGTGAAAACTACCCACCTGAGACTTTAGTATTCCTTGACGAAGCTGCTTGCAATCGTTTGACAACCAACAGGCTAAAAGTGTGGGGGCCTAGAGGAGGTCGAGCACGGAGACATGACTTTTTTGTGAGGGGACAAAAGTATATCAGTACTAATCATTTCAATTCCACATGGAGACTGACCAAAAGTTATTGATTCTTCCAACAGATATTCTATTCTTCCCGCTATCTCCCTTGATGGAGTTCTACATCTCGACATTCTTACATCCTCCTGGACAGCTGAGGAATTCAGAACATTTGTTGATGTCCTTCTTGACAAAATGAACCCATATCCACAGAAAAACTCAGTGCTGGTTCTTGACAATGCAAGTGTACATCATTTTGATGAGCTTCGCGAGATGGTTGAGGGACGGTAAGTGCTCATGATTTGATTATTTTTCAACATGATTGTATTTTCGCAGAGGAAGACGACTCCGATATCTTCCGCCATACTCCCCTGACTTTAGTCCAATTGAGGAGGGATTCTCCATGATGAAGGCATGGATTCGGCGGAATCGAGATTACATGTTAGGTGAACTGTCAGGGGATGCAATGTGCAATCCCCAGGCAATGCTATGGGATGCAGTATTCGAGTCAATGACTCCAGATAATATTACAGGATGGTATCGAGATTGTGGCTATGTTGTATAGATCAGAGTTCAACACTTTCTAATCATGACATTTCATTCTCTTTATCATCTATCCTCGCCTGCTTGCTATCCCTCTTTTCACGAAGCAGAGCTTTCCTGGTCCCCTTCAAGAAAGGCCCGACAGCACCCTCAGCCATCCCCAGTCTGACAAAAAAGTCTTTCGAAAATTCACCAACACTCTCCGCATAGACGATGCCGTGCTTTTCCAAAATGGCTTCATACTGATCGAAGTGGAGCTTGGGATATTTCGTGTTGAGATCAGCAAGAACCTCAGTGAGTGGAAGGGATTCGATGTCCATGCTATCATCGGAAGAGTCTGGTGTAGAGGAACGTGCGCGTTTGGATCGACGTGATGGAGTTGGCAACCCAGCTGGGTCGACGGGGTTCGTAAAGTGGTTGTGAACATGGACGGCCGGACCAAGGGCGGTGTTTGTTGCAGTCTTGTTATTTGCGTGCTTAGTGGCACGTTCACGGAGCTTATCAAGGGAGAGGCAATTTGGCGGAAGGACACATGCACGATCGAGGGTCAGGTCGTCTTTCTGTAACAATATTAGCTAGTATAGTGAAACTGACATGGAGACTCACAAGTTTTCGAGCCCAGAGGGTCACCTCTTCGAGACCGAGCTTGACATGGTCCGCAGGATCATTCGAACTGACATAGCACCACCTGTTGGGGCCATTGTGCTGCTCACACTTGAGCTTCCCCTTCATGATACAAAGTTCTTCGCCATACGCGAAATCAGTGGCTTTGTTGCCATCGGTCTTCTTCTTCGCAGGCTTGGGAGCCACAGGATTCTGGGTAAATGACCATCAGCTAAGAAGAGAATATAGAAATACCAGGACGTACCAAATGAACCATCTGCATTGCAACTTCTTTCTCCCTTCTAGTATTCTTCTTAGCCTTTACAAGCACGTGAAAGGCATCTTGAAGGTCGTTCTCAGTGGTGAGTTGTCTAGCGGGATCGCGTTTCGCATCGTCGATAGACTTCCAGCCGAGCTCGGCAGTTGCAGGATTTAGATTCATTGAAGCGCAAACACGACTGACAAAATCATTATAAGGAATATCAACAGGGATGTCAATATCCTTTGTAAACTTGTCATTCACTGGGATGCGAACGACGACACGGTCTGTCAAACCTATCAGCACCATCCAAGAGAAATACATGTAGCCAACATACCGATTTCGTGCATGAGTAGTTGGGGATCGATGTTGTCTTGGTGGTCAAGCAGATGGTTGGTTATTGCAACAGCAATTTCCTGTGGCTGTGGCGGAGGTGGAGGCCCCATCTAGTGTTTGGAAGTCCGGTCTCGTGACTGGAAAAAGACCATAACCAGACCGGACCAAGACCGCAAAAGACCGGACCTGCGGTTACGGTCTTTTATTTTTGAAATGTAAAGACCGCAAAAAGACCGGTTAACGTGAACCGGTCTTAACCGGTTTGGACCGGTCTTTTGTAGCCCCTTAAATACCCTTTAAAACGCACCCAAGAACGTACGATTTGGTAAAAAAACGAGAGAGATATGAATTAAAATGTAAATTACTTTTGGGAATAATAGATGTACCAGACTTATTTTATAGAAGCACCAATTCCTAATGGAATTTAACGTTCTTGGGCTCGTTTTGAAGCTATTAGAGATGTTAATAAATTTACAGATTCATAATTTTAAAATATTGGCCTAAAGACCGGTCATAAACCGGTTAAAACCGATGCAGACCGAAACCGGTCTATAGACCGCAAAAAACCGCGGTCTGCGGTCTTTTTGCGGTCCGGTCTGGTCTTTTGACTTCTGGGGAAAAGGCAGACCGGTTACGGTTACGGTTAACGCCCCTGGGCATCAAAAAACCGGACCGAACCGGACTTTCAAACACTAGCCCCATCCCCAACAAGTAGGCTGCCATTTGCCGCTGTCGGCATTGATTATTGTGGTAAGTGTTGTTATTATCCATGAGTGATACTGACCTGTACCAGTGTCCGCACTCTTTATACATTCGATAGCCATCCCATGTTTATGAGGGTTGACACTGAAATGCAGGGAAATGACATAAATGAGGCGCTAGCGAATACACGAAGTGGAGTGGTGGAGCGAGAACAGAGTGCTTGCATCACTCACGCCCACTCATTTCCTAAAGCGGTTGTTTGTACAAGGTGAGGCGCAGTCTGGAAATTTTGGAGAGGTGTCTACGTTTTTGCATTTTGCTGTAAGCATCACATTTGGGCTCTTCCCATGTTGGTTAGTCTTGGGTTTCGCATATCGCATAATGCATAACATTTTGAGGGCAAATATGCAGTATGAGATAGAATATTTTGGGTATCTAGGCAACACTGACAATAATTTAAGTGATTATTTTGTAGAAGATTTGAGATAAGTCCTTTATCTTGGGGAGACCATGATTGAGTGCTATCTAATCAATCTTTTGCTAGAAATTTTGCTGTCAGTATATGTTAAGTATTTGTCTCAGACATGTTCAAGGAGTTTGAGTCTGATGACGAGAAGGAGGAGGACATCAGAATATGTGAGTTGAGGAGTTTAAGTGAGAAAGTGGAATGCCTCTCTCTCAAATATGAAGACAAATAGACCTCTCTAGACCTCTCTCAAAGCCTGAGGGTGTTCCAAATCCAATTGAGGAGGGTGGAGACAGTGAAGGCAAGGCAGACATCGCTGAACCAGCAGAGAGTCACACTAGAGTCACACAATATGTCACAGTCACATTTTGTTACACCTATCTACACTGACATAAATCTAATAATGCATTGGAAATTGGCCCTTCCCAGCATTATGCATTATGAGAACTTCTACTGTACATCGGGAGCGGCAACCCACTGCCAAATTTTCAACTCTGCCATATTTTCCCATCACCAAAGACCTGATCAAAAAATGGTCAATCGTCTCAACTGCTCATATTTACTTTGACACAACAGTAGATTGCCAATTTAAGTGTGGATATCTGTAGGTGGAGCATAAGTAAAGGTGCTTGTATACAATTTAGCTCAAAAATACAAATATTCCATCAGTTAATATCTTAATTCAAGCCTTCCAAACCCCTTTATAAAATTCTGTCCCGAACAAATCCATCCTATGCTCCAGAAGTTTGTGCCTGCCAAAATTTGAAAGAATACCTCTACAGATGAGGTAGCAATCCACGACGCGGGAATGGCATGGTAAGATGCGATGATCATGTGTTGCAATAAAGAAAGTAACTGAAGTGCGACCAAAGCGCGACTATTGGTGTCAGCAATGCATTATCGTCGCTACCTCTGCATATATTGACTTGTAAACCACAAGTATCTTATATCATGGGCAAAGAGGCTTGGAAACTGGGCTGGAAGTCACGATCGACGTTGCAAACTTCCCAGTCAATGACAAACCTTCGCAACATTCACTCTGACAACTTGGAAAACAGACCAGAACCAAATTGGAACACAATATGAATGTCTAAAGCTCAAACCAGCAGGAGCTTGAAGCTCAACTCAATGTGGGGAGTGAATAGGAAGGCTACATTCCAGAGCAAAATGCATCTGACATGTATAGTGACACAGATATAGAACTTGGCTACCAAATTCAATCATAATAGTATATTATATATCACCACAAACAATATAGACTTGTAAATTGGTCCCTATGTATCAATTACAGCTGAAAGCAGAACAATAGGCCATGCCAGATCAACACATACATAGGGCGGACTCTCAACTTTTATTGTGGTACTAGCGTGACATCAATTCGGAGGTTGAAATTTAACACGTTGTGAGAACTCAGCAGCCCCAGCCATCATGTCGCTTGAAATTTTGGGAGCCCTGAACATGTGTCGATCTGCCGTGGCCTATCGTTCTGCTTTCAGCTGTAAAGTGAAATAACAGTCGTCGACCACTGAATTCGACTATTTGGCATGAGACAAACAGAACCAAACAGCATGATTTTATTGGCACGGTTGCCGCTCCCCACTGTACATACATGTTGATGTCATGGCGCAAAGAGGATGTGAACAACGTGACAGTGAGCACTGATCACAACAACTTGAAGTTGAACTTGGTCAGTGTAACGAATCGCAAATCAAAACCATGGCATTGAGTCTTGACATCAGATTCACAACCACCGCCGTCTGAGTCGATCCCGCACATCCTCCACATCCACCTTTTTATTCCCCCGCACCAGCTCACCCACCAAGGACCCTATTTCCATCGTCATCTCCAAACCCTCATGAAACACAGTAAAACCAAACACACACCCCTACGCCATAAAACAACATCACAGTCATCCTTTTCTGCTCTTCTTCCTCACCAGTCCATACTACCACGCTCACACACTGGCAGCACGTCGCCAGAGCACGTCTCCAGTTGACCAGGTAGCTCTGCCCTATCTCCATTCAGCGCATGTACTGGCCTCTCAAGCTCTCAGCTTGGAAAAATACCAGACCGCAAGTTATGAGGAGCCATGATCATATGGGAGAGAGGTGAAAATAAAGGTTAGCGATACAGTTCTGATGGCGCGCTGAGGTGTTCATGTTGAACGCAGTGCGCTCATATTCTACCTGACCAACACCTACAGCAACTAAGGTCGTTACACAGGCCCCATCATCGTAAGTACTTCCTATCTGACAATATGTTTGCTTACAATGCCATACCTCGTTCAGTAAATCCAATCGCCCAACCATATCTGAGTGCGGCTCGCCTCTATTCCACTTTATATCTGACTTCGATGTTGTGTCCTTTGAGTCTACCAATAAACAAGGCGCCGTCTCCCAAACCATACCGCTTGAAGAGGTCCATGGCGAACAGGTCTTCGCCACGTCATGACGGCAAAGTTTCTCAATATGTCCCAGCCAACTATATACCCCATGGCTTTGTCCAAATTTCTTCTCATCCATTCTTCGATCTAATAGGACCATCTGTGCGTACCTTATAACATGCTCGCACCCTCACCTCTCATGAATGTTTAGGCATTGGATGAAACTCTGCTCAACGATGAAAAAAAAAGCTCGCCATTGCAACACTACCAACTTGTACTCCGATAATTCTGCATGTCGCAGGATGGGACAGCCTGTACTACGATTTTGGTGTTTGACGACCGGGTCTTGTTGTGCGAGGATCCTTCACGCTGTTCGCAGAGCCTCAGGGAGTGGCCCTACCTGTTTTTTAAACGTCGACTGTCCACTGGCAGAAGTTCAAGCAGATTCGGAGGACCAAAAGGAGATGCTTCCTGCCATCGAAGTCATTGGCCAGCACAACATGCTTCTCAGCTGGAGAGGTTGTTTCTTCTCAATGACGGCATAAGCTCACGAAATCTCCTCTTTCTTCTCCATAGAGTCCTTACCATCATCTTCTAGAGCATTCTCCGCTTTGTTCGAATAGCTCCTTCCACCACCTTCCCAGATCAAAGATGATGGGACCCTTCATGTTGAACCTCCTGACGATTCTTGTCAACTTGCATGAGTTTGTCAAGACCTATTGAAGGTCAATCAACTTGCGAACTCAAATCTTTTCTACCTTCACTGACGATTCAACAGGGCATCGGGATCGTCGTTTCTCCATCCAAAGGTCAATCGTCTACTGATATCAAGGACGTCAAGAACATCACTTCAAATGTCCCTACCATTTCCCGTTGACATTGCATGAACAGGGTCCTCCGCCTTTCTTGCCCAACTTTTCAATGTCTTTCCAGCAGGGCGTTGTCTCCAGCTGCTGGTACTACGACAGCCATCGTGCACTTCTGCGACTTCCAAAGGGAAACGATGCTAGCTCTTTTCGACGTATGTACCCCCTTCGCTTCTAGTTCTCCAAGTACCGATAGACTTGACACAGAATTACGGCTCAAACATGTCTCTGACGTTGCCGTTAGATGCCCTTTGTGTTGCTGTTTGGCCCCACGTCTGCTTTGAGGAAATTCATCTATTGGGGTGAGATACTGAGTAGTCTGATCCTACCGAACAGGTACTAACCTCCAAGATGCTAGCCATCGTTGGGTAGGCCGCTTGCTTTCCCTGATCCCATTGCTCAAGCGTGGACTTCTTCCTAATAACATCATGGGGAATGGGACATTGGACGCTCAGCTGCATAGTATGCTTGCAAGGACATGGGGAAAACGAAGCACTTGACCATTGGATCACGGGTCCTGAACGGCTTACGTAAGGATCGCGTCCTCCCTTTGACAATCTCTTTCTTTGACTTGTTTTCCCTTTTATACAGCTATGATTTCAAAATACATCCTTTCTATCCCTCCCCACTGTACCACCACCCATTTCTTATCTACAGAACGATTGCCTTCCTGCCATGCCATTGGCGGCAGTTCACCCAGTAGATTTCATCCTCCTTTTCACCATCATCTTCATCATCGCCTCCCTCTTCTGTGCGTCCATCTATGTGACGGGTTGGTATATCTATGGCAGACTATACCCTGAACCCCGCTGGATTGCCAACGATGACGAAGGCGTAACAAAAAGTCACAAAGGCTTCATTGACCACCCAACACTACACGACGGTCTATCTGATCGTGGACACCATACGCTCTAGAATCAAAGGCAACACCTCAGCAATACCCAGAATGTTGAGAGGTTCTTTATTGAGATCTTGGATGACTCGGACTCGGATTTGAATGTTCTTCTGGTAAGTTGTTTCGCTGATTCTGCCTTCCAAGGGTATTCAACATGTCACAACGCAGGGGAGCGGAGGGACATTGCTTAACACCCAAAACGCATCTGCTCAACATGGAATTTCCAAGACTCCCCCAGATCCTCCCACGGATTGTAATGCTCAGGCAGTAAAACCCTGGGGTCCTGGATTTCAACAAGTGATTGCACCTTTTATTCTTGGTTCACGACCTTCTATGAGACCACCGGCTCGTAGCTCCCAACCTTTGATGAAGCCTCGGAAGGCAGCGAGCAACCCCAAAGGGGTTGGAAACCACCGCCTGTTGATCACGGCTCCCAGCCTTTAACGACCTCTCCAGATTGCGGTCTTTTTACTATGACACCGGCTCGTCGCCCAGGTAAAGTCACCCCCCTTTCACCACCTTTCGACTGATGCTGAATGTGCTTTCAAGCTTATCGCCGTTGCCCAATTGGAAGTTTGGAAGACGAGCTTGATCATCATGATGAAGATGAAGATGACGATGATCATGATGACCACGACTACATCGATGATAGTGAGATGGACAACTCGGATTCTATTTGGGAACCGCGTTCTTCAGTAAGAGCCTTCATGTTGTTTTTTCAATCTCGTTTATTCTGACAAGAGCTACAGAAGAAACGGAGGTCTCCACTCAAAAAGACCCTACTGACTTGCCTTCCAGGTTCCTCTGCACCTGAGCCAAAGCTACTTATCACTTGTCGTGACAGGCCCTCAACATCGGAGAACCCCAATTCCACGGTTACGTCTGGTCAGCTTCCTTCTTTTCCTCTGTCTGGTGCTTTTGCTAATGTATTCTCATTCAGACCCTCATGTCCACCCTACTCCGATTTCTCAATGCCAGCCACTTGTTCCAGCAGCTGTTGACAAAGTACAAGGAGATGTCGATGATCCTTCAGCTCTGGATCTGGGCCCGCACTCTACCCTGGACTCGCACTCGCACACAACAGAACCCGACCTCCTTGCAACACTCGCAACCTGACAAGAAGCACTAGACCCACGTGAACTCAGGCTGGCGGCTATTTGTGGTGGGCAACGACCATCAGCAGTAGGGTCTGGGGATGTTGATGATCGTTCAGCTCTGGATCTGAGCCTGCGCAGAACAGAACAAGACTCAACAGAACACGACCTCCTTGTGACATTTGCAACCTGCCAAGAAGCCCTCGACCAATGTGAGCTCGGACTGGCGGCTAGACAGGAGAGGATTGAGGGGCTGGAGGAGAGGGTTGGGGAAGGTGCAGGGGGTTGTTGGGTATTGTGAGGAGGCATTGGGGCGATGTGAGGAGGCGGTTGGGCGGAGGGAGAAAGAGGTAGAGGAGAGGGAGATGGCGGTTGAGCGGAGAGAGAGGGAGGTGGAGGAGAAGGAAGAGAATGTGATGAGCGAGGACAGGCTCTCAATCAGAGAGGATCTGACCTTGAAGAACGTTCTGAATGGGTTGAGGAAGAATGGGAATGCATTCTGCTAAACTTGGTGGTCTCGACGTGTCCACTTCGTCAAAGTCATGGCCCATCACTATCACTCTTCTTCAGTCCGTCGTCTTTCATGTGTTGGGCGACAATATGTCCTCATTCCTCCTTGAGCCCAGCCCTCCCTCCTCCTGTAACCCAAGTCCTTCTTCCTCCTTCAACCGGAATTCATCCACCACCCCCACCTCAATCCCCCCTTAAAGAAGACCCTGACGTGAGTGGGAAGCCCAACGCGATTTGTACCTCTTGACGGATGGACGGGGGAGTTACCTCGTACTCATGGGCATTGGCGTGTGTGCTGTCAATTGTGTTGAAGGTGCTTGCGAGGAGGTTGACCGGGGTTGGGATTTGGAGTTGGTTGAGAGGGAGGAACAGGAGGTAGCGTTGACTAAATTTGAGGGCGGGAGATGCTTTGCAGTCTTATGACTTTTTTGACCTCTACAACTTTTTTCACAATCTCTTTTTGACTGACGCTGACAAGGAATTGAATAAATGAATGCTTGCAGATGCAAGTGTTTTGGGTTTTGTTCGTGTATATTTCTTACTTATACCTTATGTATCGTTTGAATCTTTGAACAGCACTGATTGTTTGAAAGCGACAACCGTCCGAGTCTTGCAAGTTGCACGATGCTGTTCGTCATGATCAGTGAGTCCTCGTTTCTTGTGTTACATGCTAACAGATCTACTATAGCGGGACCGGTCCTAATTATAAGGAGGTCTTTACCTTCCCCGGTATAATCCATATGGAATCCATGTGGAATCCATGGAATCCATGAAGAATTCCATATGGAATCCATGGAATCAATGTTGGCTGAGGACACAGCCAGTTTCTGATTCCATGGACATCATGGATTCCATATGGAATGATGCTGGAATGGTCATGGAATGATTAATTCCATATGGACTCCAACACCATTCCATATGGATTCCATCAGATTCCATATGGAATGCAGGCATATCCACATGGATTCCATGGAGCAGTCCATATGGATTCCATGGAATGGAATTAATGACTATTATACCATTAGAATACATTGTCCTTACTATAAGTAAGTAAAATAAATTTTTTTACATCTCAAGGAATTGAACTCTCAACCTCGTGAATGTAAGCAGCGCTCAAGCCGACTGAGCCATGAAGGCATTATTATATGAGAAACTAAAGGTATGTATATACCGCTTTTAGGCACGTGCCGCGTCAAACGTGACAGCTGTGGCTGAAGCGTTGCCACGTCGTTCTTTCCTTCCTACCACCACCATCACCATCCACCACCACCGTTTCAAACCACGACCGCCCGCGACATCGACAACGACGACGACGACGCTGACGCTAACGACGCGTGACGAGGGCCCAGCCCAGGTAAGTGGGAACAACCACCCCACCCACTCTCCTTTTTAACACAAACCACAGGTGCCACGTCGCGACGTGGCAACCAGACGGCGAACGACGACATCGGTCGTCGTTCGCCGTCTCTGCTCGGCCACGAGGACTCACCACCACGAACAGCCCACCAACACACCCCACCAACGTCAACGAGCGCCCACCCCCACGAGCGCCCACCGACGAAAACGAGCGCCCACCAACGTCAACGACCTCACACCAACGACGACCAGCGCCCACGAAAACGACCGCCCACGGACGTCCAGCGACCGCAAACGACGTCCCCGCCCACGAAAACGATGTCCACCGCCCATGAACGACGCCCACCGCCAACGATGTCAACCGCCCATGAACAACGGCCACCACCAACGACGTCCAACGCCCACCGCCCACCAACGACGTCCCCCGCCCACGAAGACGACGTCCGCCGCCCACCGCCCACGAAACAACGTCCGCCGCCCACGAAAAACGTGTACCGCCCACGAAACGACGTCCGCCGCCTACCGAAAACATCCGCCACCCACCGAAAACGTCCACCGCCCACGAAACAACGTCCCCCGCCCACCGAAAATGTCCGCCGCCCATCCACGAACACAGTGACGAGCCCAGGTGAGCCCCCCCTCCCTCCATCATTATTCCACATCACACCGTCCCCCATTGCTCCCCCTCTAATTGCTGCCCCCCTCTCCACCTTTCCTTCCCCCTCCATAACTCCCCACCTCCATCACTCTCCACCCCTCCCCTCCCTCCTCATTCTCCACAACTCCCTCTCTCCACAACTC